AATTCATTCCGTGGTGCATGTTATAAGAACAAACAGTGGTTAGCTGACGAGATGTAAATCTTATCAATAATTGTTCAATGTCGCTTCAGACAACTAACCAAATCGAACACCTTTACTACGATAATTTCCAACAGTGTCAAGTGAATGGAATTGAGACTAGGAAGCAAAATAAATTATTTGTATGACGTATGATGTACTGAGTATGATTTGTTATAGTAATGAACAAAACATTTTGCTAAATCCGTCTTCATCACGAAATTAAACTGAGGCTCGTATACTGTAGAAACGTTGTCTAACACCTACATTACTTTGATGAACTGCCTACCTAACATCACACGAATTTTATAGACCTTTTTCCGTAGCCTCGTAAAGGTATGAAAAAAACATTTCAATTCCTTTTTAATACTGCCATATACAATCGGAACTGATAAATGGGAATACTGGTGTTACACAATCATTTATTTATGTTATATGCACATTAGACCATTGGATTATTGTGCATTATTTTGCACTAGTATACAAATATTATTTATGTTAGCCACGTAACGTTCTCATATACATTTTATAGAAAACCCTTAGACTATATTAGTATGAATTAGTGAAAGCCGCAACTAGAAAATCCTCAGCAGTTGGTATATACTGAAAAATAGTAGTGGTAGGAGTAGAATAGATTGAAAAGCTTTTAGGATGTAGATGAATAGTGAGTTAATCACTGTTGTGAAAATCTCTTTTATTATATTAATCCTTACAAATATCGCCAGTTGACATATTTCCAAAGAGGAATAAGATATATAATTGTCTTGTCCTGAGAACTGGATAAAGTGTTTATTATTATTATTATTGCCAGCAACCATAGGCCTCTGATAATGCTCGTTCCTAAGTTGTACAGCGAAAGGTCGCAAACTTTTCACAAACGTATCTGAATAGACTATGTCATTAATTGACATAATGATCTGTTGAAACAACAAGGAAACAGATAAGTTGTTAAAATATCTAGATGGCAGGAACAGGTAGTTCAGATATTCAAGCAGGCCGCCTAGTTACTATCAATTCCCCTGTTTTAAATAATTTCAATGTTGAATTCATGAGATCTAAGTTTGGCTGTTTTCTCGAATAAACAACTAATTACTTTAACGCTTTATTTTTTTTATTGAGGTCATGAACAGATTGATGTTAGACCACCATTAAAAACCTGTAAGCATTGGACGGCCGTTTCATTCTATCATGGGACTCTTCCGCAGTACGCATCCACAATCCCGCTTGCGGGATTCGAACTCATTAAACACCTTACAAATTACATATTGAATTTATTCTTAGGTGAAACCAATCTTTAAAAAAGACAATAATTAAAAGCTGTACTGTTTATTCATCTAACTTTATTCTACTGAAAAGGAAAAGGAAAAAAAGTTTAAACAACAGGTTTCATTAACTCATTAAACTAATTTATTGACAATTAAATAGACTTTATAAAATACAAATAAAAATTTCAAGTGTTTTCATATTCTTTTGCTAAGTTACATTTTAATTAAGACTATTCAACGAGAGAGAAAGATTGTAGGATCAAAGGATTTGAACCGGTTACAAAATATGACAGTTAGCTTTTGATTGTTACTATTATTATTCTCTCTATGTTATCTGTTAAAACAAAATTTTGATTGTACTTAAAAAATAGTGAATAAGTTAACATATAGTCACATGACTATTTATTACATTTTTTAATATCAACAAGTTGATATGTTTAGCTATATGCTTTCGGGGACGAAATGCGCGTCCTGGATTCCACTACTAGCCACTATCCATCTTTGCTTTTAAGTTCTAGAAAGTCTGAAATTAAACTGTCACCATTTTTATATTGTATTTAAGGAAGTCTATTTAATAAGTTTCCATTTTTCTTTGATTAGAAGATTTGAAGAGGTGAATAATTTAGTTTGAAAATGGTTTTCTCTACATTCTGAAATTCATAGAACAACCATTGAAAATCAAGGAGTAATAGACAATTATTTCATTTAAATTCAGGACTGCTGTATAGAAAGTACTAGCATAACCATTAAATTTAACAGGGAATCATCACTCAGTACGAGTGTTGAACGAATGCTGTAATCATTGATTAATTCTTAAGTACACTATTCGTAACCTGAGTACCTACGGGCAAGAATTGCTTTATGAGATCACTCAGCGCAGACTAAAAAGTCAAATTGAATGCTCGTCAATGCACTTACGCTAACTGCTCAGAAAATGAAGTAAAATACTTTCTTCATAGCAATTTAATTATATACGCCTCATTTACGAACGAACTTATTTTTATTGTGTCAAATGATGGAAAAAACGTAACTAGCATTACTGATCAAGTTATCAGTACGAATTTTACTTTCAGTCTCAGCACCAAAACGAGTTATATTTCGGCTCAAGCCAACTCATTTTCATTCCCAGTCTTCAGATATTTACTTATAAATCCTGAGTGTAAGGCAAGTATGGAAGAAAATGTAGTTAACTTATAAACAGAAAAGTAGGGAATCACAGTATCATAGGGGACTTTAGACTCCTAGAAGTCTCTGAAAAGTATGTTAAACGTAGAAGTTAGTTCAGTAACTGTTCATTCAAGAAAATGAAACATGATTCGCCGTTTTCTAGAATTTTCTTGCAAGTTCCCATGGGAAGTTGGTTGATCGGAGCACTTGTAAAATTCTGGGTATTTTATTATTTAGCCAAAACTAAACAGGTGGTCAGTGTGCTGACGATATCGAGTTTTCAGAGATGGATGACATAACTGATCTCATTTTTTGAAAACCTTTATGAATGAGAAACTAGATTAGCCAGACGTAAATATTCTTTAATATTTTACCGCACACATTTGTTTTCATATACTCTTATCTGTTCTTCCAACTTCCGTTGCAGACTACGAAAGAAATCCCTTACGCCTTATTTTTACTTTCCCTCCATCTCTCTCTCTCTCTATAAATATATATATATATATATGTATATATATATATATATCCAGGACGCGCGTTTCGTCCTATTTGGGGCTCGTCAACTGGATGTACCTCCATCTTTGCTTATAATGGTTGTGAATTGAGGTAATGTCGAGGCAATACGCACAGTATGCACATATGCCAACAAGTGACTGATCAGTTGCAGTCCTAAACATCAATGGAAAGATTCAAGCAAATAATATTAAGTGAATTTAAACTTCACCCCATTACACGAACAGGTGGCTATCAGGACTCAGCGACTAAGTGATTAACGCGATGGTTTTTGAAGCGAGCAGTACTGGGTTTGAGTCCTTCAGTGAGCATCAACTCTGAGATGCAGGTACATCCAACTGACGTGTCCCAACTAGGATGGAACGCGCGCCCTGGATTCCATTGCTACCTACTATCCATCTTGGCTTATATATATATATATATATATATATATATATATATATATATATATATAATATTATATTGTTCACTACATTTGATGTGCTGCCAACCAGGACAGGGTAAGGGTGCTGTTCTGCAGACGCTGTTGCGGACCTGGGGCCGAGGTGCCATTTGGGGCGGTCTCACTTCGAGTGGTGTGTTCTGGCGGGGCGGCGTTAACTGTAACGGGTGCTATCGTCAGAGAGGATCTGTGGGACATGCGGCTTCTGGGTAGACATCGGGTGTAGAGGGCTCAGCAAGTCGCTGGAGCGCAGGAGTTGAATATCCCAGGTGCCGGGTGGATATTAGGTTTTGGTGCCTCGGCAGGTCGACGGAGCTATGAAGGTCAGCGCGCCGGAGACTCGACATTTTGACGGACTGAAGGAAATAGGATTGTGGCACGGCGAGCAGAACCACCGCAAGAACGAGTGTTTTAAAGCAGGGACGGGTGTGGTGTGCGCTGCTTATATTCACATAAGTAGTATATAACGATATTCAGAAATATTATGTATTTCAGTTGAATATCGTGAAGGAAAGAAGGGGAACGGAAAGTAATCGTTATAAAAATGCAAGAACAATGAAATCTGGGATGAAGGAATGATATTAGCAAAAGGAACAGTAAAATTTGAGACAATTGATTGATATTTCGCAAATTAATTATTTACAGTATAGTTCTCAGATTTTACTAAGATGTTCTGTAATTTTGTGTTCAAATGCATTCGATTGTCCCCACTCGTGTTCTTGTTTACTGAATTGTAAAATATATACGAGTTTTGTTGACATGTATGTATGCTTCGTTTAAAAACAATGAACTAAGAGGAACCTGATAGGTCTACGAAAGTCGATTCGTTTAACTAAACAAAAAAAAAGTTTATTCACATTTAGAATTGGTGAATTTTGCCCCTCTCCTCTATAATTTATTTGATTATGTCATTAAATAATTATGAGTTCCCGTTTTTTTGTCACTACTTTGATTATTCAAAAAATGAATGAACAAGTTTGGTTCACCTTGAAAACAAATTGATATCATTTATTCAACTTCGAATCTTGACTTATTGAATCGTTAATTCTGGAAAAAGTTCTGTTTTTCTTTTGTTAGTTCTTACGAGATACTAATCGAGACGGTAATAACCATTATGAAATTGCGATTAATTATTAAACCTGATAGTTAGGTCAAACGACACGAAACACAAACTATTAATGAACTAATAAACAATTAATACTTTTGTTATAATAATTTATGCTTGAAATGGACTACAAGTCCCTGTTTGTACTGCGATAGGAACAAATGACAAACATAGTAAATAAACAATATTAAAGCAGATAAGAATGGTGAATATCCATGTTTTTTATTCTTAAGAATGAAGTTCCATCGTTCTTATTGAAAATTATATCAAAAGATATGATGCCAACTGGTCAGCAATTGTAATAATGAAAACGTTTTATAAAATAGATATGAGTTTACAAATGAATCATTGTCTGTTAAAATTTTGATACCAGACTGTAAGGAATGTTCTCGTTTTTATTGTTTAGCAGGTTGCGTAAATATTGAAAGAATATCAACAGATCCAATGAAACCGATATTATGTACTACTGTTTATGGTTCATTCACACTTTTGTCCAAAAACTGGTAAACAACTGAACAAAAATATGCATCTGGTTGATCAGTATTTATCGTTTGAACAAACTTTTAAATGGAAATTATTGGTATTTATTCACTTCATTTACACATCATCATGCTATTTATCGAATTCCATTACAATGAAACGTCCACCAACAGATTATTTTCATCCATTACGTAAGTTGAATCATAACTAATCATACTTGTTGCAATACTGTTAAATGAATATAAAGGACAATTATTTTCGTACAATTTAATGTGTTTTTGTATTTATTCACAACAAACTATTATATCTTCAATTCACTTCTATTCGTGGTTTTCTAAGTAATAGATATATATTGTCATAGTTTATCATAGTAATTTCAGTTAAGCGATTATGCATCAGTTAACAGTGTTAATCAGTTCACAATTCTCAGTGAAAATAATAATGAATAATGAGGGTGGATATATTGACAAACAATCCGATAAACTGTATGGTATGTGATGAATCAGTCAGAAATTTTTATCTAACTCAACTTAATATTCTACTACAGTTAGGTAACCAAGTATACTTCTTCCAATATCTGATAAGATTGATTGAATGTGTACTTGCATTATTCGGCTCCATAAGAGCAATTGAATGACAGACATGGAGAGGAGGAAGTGAATTCAGTTTGTTATTCATTTTCTACTATAATTAGTATCAGATGCATATAAATTAAAGCATTATGCCTGGTTGCGGAAAACGTTTATTGTGAATATTTCATGATCTTCGTCAATGTACTCGTTTCTAAATGTTCCTAGTAATTCATTATCACTAAGTAATTTACACAACTCCTCCTGTCGCTCTTCTAAGGTTACTTCAGTTCCAAAGCCCGAGTAAAGGACGAGGGTTGCGTATTGGACCAGCGACCCCATCCCGTAGAAAACAGCCTTACTAACAAAACGCTAACCAGAATAGGCCATTTAAACCACTTAAGCTCTGCCCTCCGAGTTGAAGGATCTTCGTTTAGAAGAATTATGACGTCTTATGGTGAAGGCCGAGATTCTCTGAAAGTCACGAGGCCATTGTTCCTTCTAATATCCAGAGTAATAATTAATATAGGTACATGGAATGTTCAAACAACGTGGGAAACCTGAGAGGACCATTCAAATAGCTGCGGAAATGAAGAGATACAACTGGGCGGTTCTCGGAATAATTGAAACCCAATGAACCCAAGCTGTACAGAAAATGTTAGACTCGAAAGAAATGCTGTTGTACTCGGGTCAGGAAGAAGAAAATGCTCCGCACACGCATATAGTTGCTGTGATGCTGTCCAAAGAAGCACGTAAAGGATTTATAAGATGGTAATCTCATGGATCCACAACCAACAAAGCATCCTTCGAAACAAAGAAGGAGCGGATCACAATGAATGTTATTCAACGTTATGTTCTTACAAAATAATAGCAACAGCGACGATAAAGATCAGTTTTGCGAGAGACTTCACTTGATGGTAGAGAAGCTCTTAGGATGGGAAATGATCACCCTGATGGAAGATGTAAGCGACAACGTTGGAATGGACAAAACTGGGTGTCAGTATATCATGGGATGACATGGACTGACTAGGAGAAAGAAACGAGAATGGCGAGAGATTTTGAAATCTATGTGTACTCAACAGAATTGCTATAGGTGGCAAAGTATTGCCCTACAAACGCATACATATAGCTACATGGGTCTCACAAGATCACACTACAGCGAACCAAATTAACCATGTTTGCATCAAGAAAAATTCCAGTAGGTCGATTAAAGATAAGAGAATCAGCAAAGGACCTAAATTAGCTCCATATCACCACCCGGTTGTGTCCAAGATGAAATTAAAGCTGAAAAATCACTGGACAGCTGGAGAAACAGCATTACAAAGGCCCAATATATCTTTCCTTCGAGATACTAAGAAACTCAACGAATTCAAGATAACTCTCAACAACAGGTTCCACGCCGTACAAGATCTACTCGAGGAAGATGAAACTACTATGGAGGGCAACCGGAAACAGATCAAAGAAACACTAACTTAAACTTGTAAAGAAGTGCTGGACCTCATGAAGCATCATCACAAGGAGTGGGTCTGTATGGAAACACTGAAAAAATTCAAAAAAGAAAAGAACAGGAAGACAGCAATCAAAAACAGCCAGCTGAACAAGAACAGAAAAAGTTAAAACACAAGCTGAATACATGGAAGCAAGCAAGCAAGTGAAAAGGAGCATTAGAGCTGACAAGTAGAAATACGTGGAAACGACGGTGGAAAAAGCTGAAAGAGAAGTAAATATGCGGCAACTATAAGATGTAACGAAGAAACTAGCAGGGAAAATAGTAAACCAGAGAGACCAGTCAGGGACAAAGAAGGCAATCCATTCGCTGAGATTTAGGAACAGCGCAATCTACTAGCTCCACTGAACCCACCGGACATTGAAGCAGTACACAAAGGCCTTCCAGCAGCTCCCACCCTACGAACACAGATAGCGTCAACCCAGCCACACTTGATGGACAAGATCTGGAACATGTGGAAACGTCCACATATCTGAGCAACATCGTCGATAAACAAAGAGGATCTGATGCAGATATGGAGGCAAGGAATGGTAAAGTAAGTGCAGAATTCCTGCAGTTGAAGAACATATGGACCTCAAAATAACTGTCAATCAATATCAGAATCAGAATCTTTAATCAGAATTTCAAGAAACTGAAAATTCGAGAACTACTGCAACCATCATCAAGAATGTACAAGTATTTATAAACAATTGTTTACGTAAGATACTCAATATCCGCTGACCAGATACCATCAGCTACAGCCTACTGTGGAAGAGATCAAACGGGCTTTGAGCTGAAGATGAAATTAGGAAAAAGTCCCAGTAGAGTATAGAACATATAATGAAGAAATTATCCATTTGCATCATGAGACAAGCGCTAATTTGTAATCCTGAATGAAACCGGGAAAGTTGAAGGTCAAAGAACACAATGAGTTGGTAATTAGAAGCAGATATTAAGAGGACGAATAGCGACTTGAAAGTGCTGGAAAGGATTATTCATGACAGAGTTCGATAGAGACTGCTTGTGAGCGGCCTATGCTCGTCCATGAGGGGTAGCAGGCGTAAGTAGTTAAATAATTGAGTTGCACATAATATTCAAAACTTTGATAAATGAGCAGGACAAAAAAATTATTTTTCTCAGAAAGTTCCTATTTTATTTCACCACACATTATCAAAACCTTTGGATACCGTCTCACCCAGGTGACGAAAGCTAGGAAGATACCAGTTAATAAACTAATCTTTAATTTCAAATTTTTGTAAGTCATTTATTACTATAACCAAGGAACACGCAACAAACACTCTTACTCGTATCGTCTAATTTTCGTGATATTCACTTTGCCTCAGTAACAAATTCGTACTCTCTTTTCACTTATATGCGCCATTCATCTCCCATGACATGAGCCTGAATTATTTTCCAAGTTTCAAGTGTTAAAATTTCCGCTCACTATAACAAGTCTATGAAAGAACGTGTTAAAGAGATTATTATCTAGATCTTGTCTACTGATTTATTACTAAGTAGTTTGACGCATTCTACGCAAAACGTTGTATCACGTCTTGGTAGTACTGGTAATAGTACACTAACGTTAAATCAATAATTTGTGACGATGAAAATGAATTATGTTCTATATATATAACAATGACTGACCATATCCATTCATTTGTTTTATCAATTTTTATGCCACAGCTGAGAGATATATTGACCTATTAAGTCCAATCAATCCTGTTCATGATTATCTTCACTTCAATCCAGGCACAACATCTGAATTAGATTGTAATCAATGGGAAAACCGGAATTTACAAGCTTCCAGTTCTACTAAAACACTGCAATCGGACTACAATGGTCAAGAGGATATATATTTATCCTACACACCATTACTGCCAGTGAGCTTTTTGGTTGAAATGATACCATATCCAAGGTTATATCCTGGACGATCATTTTTCTTCAGTCGTCTAGATAACTTGAATCGTATACGTTTAGCTATCGGATTAAACCAATGGGGTAAAACTGGTGAATGTATGGAGTTATGGATACATCATGAATTGTTTTATAGTCTGGAACCAACTCCAAAAATTTCCACGTATTATATTGGATCAGGTTTAGTAAATCATGCCGGTCTTGTGATAGTACCTTTACCGAACTATCAATTCAATACTAACAAACTTATTACATTGATTATTGAAGTATGTTGTTATTTGTGGATATACAAAGTATTAAGTTGCTAAATTGCTCTTTAAATTTTCTTAAATTGTTATACATACTTCGAAAACAATTAAAGACGTACAACTAATGTAAGTGATAATATTGATTATTTCAGTTTTACTGATAATCAGCAATAGTTCATCGCAATCAGAACTATAGGCACGTATGTTCGAGATGTTTTAATTGCATTTTATCAAAACTGAGAACATAATTAACTAGTAATTACAGCTAGATTTAATTATGGCAATATAAAAATGCTGTAAACAAATATATGGTTATTATGTTATATAATGAATCTCAGAGTGAACATGAACTCTGTGGTACGGGTACATCTAGACGACGGGTCCCGAATAGGATCAAACACGTGTCGTCGATTCCACTGCTAACCATCATACACCTCTTTTTATAATGTCTATGAAGTTACGGAAATACTGAAGCAATCTGTGGAGGTTGTAGGCCGGTCAATTCCAGCCTTAAACATTAATAGAAAGCATTATAAGCAAAGATGGTTAGTGGCTAGCAGTGGAATCCAGGACGCGCGTTTCGTCCTATTTGGGACTCGTCAGCCGGACGTACTTGCATCTAGAGTTGATGTTCACTCTGGGACTCGAACCCAGTACCGTTCGATTCAAACGCCATCGCGTTATCCACTTGCAGTTCGAAACATCAATGGGAATATCCAAGTAAAACAACACCAAGTGAAATAAACTTCACCCCATTGCACAAGCAAGTGGATATCAGGACTCAGTAGATAAGTGGATAACGCGATTGCGTTTGAAGCGGACGGTACTTGGTTCGAGTCCCAGAGTGAACATCAACTCTAGATGCAAGTACGTCCGGCTGACGAGTTCCAAATAGGACGAAACGCGCGTCCTGGATTCCACTGCTAGCCACTATCTATCTTTGCTTATAATGCTTGTAAATTAAGGCAATATCGAGGCAATACGCACAGTATGCACATATGCCAATAAGAGACTGATCAATTGCAGTCCTAAACATCAATAGGAAGATTCAAGTAAAGAAATATCAAGTGAATTAATAGAAAGGTCCAAACAACTAATAAAAACGAATCATATATATATATATATATATATATATATATATATGACGACGGACCACGGGTAAACTCGAGGAAGCTATAAGAGGCTCAGAAGGAGCCGAAGATATTCCAGCCAATCACCGTTAGCAAGAATATTCTAGAATCCCTACGTGTAGCTTCCCGATTGGACAAGGCTAATAACCCCCTGTATGCGGATTGGAGGACTATAATGATGATTTTTGTTCTTTCTAAAACTATAAATACCTGACAATTTGTACCCATAATTGACACTGTTTGGAATAACATTCCTTTCACTAGTCTTCTGTCTTCTCTTTGCGACTTGGAAGGGTTTGGGCGTTCGTGTGTTCAGTTGTACGCGTTATATCAAGTAAATCAACCATTTCTAGATATAACAACTGGCGACGGGTTATCATATGAAGATGTCATTTACCTTTGAACAACTTGAAGCCTTATTGGAACGTCAAGAAAAACGTTTCGAACAGTTCCAGATGCGCATGATAGAAACACTAACCCAGAAAATGAACCTGAATCAAAAAGAAGTTGCAGATGATCCCTTCAAATCTCATGTTGACCATATCATCGATTCTATCCATGAATTTAACTTCGATGCTTCAGCTGGTATTACTTTTGAAACCTGGTTCAACAAATATGAAGATTTGTTCAAGGTCGACCTCAAAAAACTTGACGACGCCGCTAAGGTCAGAATACTCTTACGAAAACTTGGAACTGTTGAACATGAACGATACAGTAATTTTATCCTTCCAAAGAATCCAAGAGATTTTTCTTTTGATTCAACGATCGAAACTTTGTCGCAAATATTCGCTGAACAGTCATCTTTGTTTAATATTCGTTATCAATGTCTTAAGATAACAAAAGCAGTTGACGATGACTGGGTGAAGCATGCGGGGTTAGTAAACCGTGAATGTGAGCGCTTCAAACTATCTGCATTGACAGAAGATCAGTTCAAGTGTCTAGTGTTCGTGTGCAGCCTCCAATCTCCTGAAGATGCCGATATTAGAACCAGAATTTTGAGTAAAATTGAACAATGTCCAAACATAACACTACAGGAAGTAACCACAGAGTGCCAAAGATTGGTAAACTTAAAACACGACACTTCCATGGTCGAAAATAATGGCCAGTTGCCATACGTTCATGCTGTAAGCGGAAAGAAAGATACCGGCTCAAAAAAATCATCACACACAGACAATCAGCCCTCATCTCCATGTTGGTCGTGTGGAGGTTGGTACTATAAAAGTATGTGAATGTAGATATAAATAAAAAGCGTGCCCGCCTGCAGCTCGATACTGCTTCCGACATCACACTTATCAGTCGAAGAACCTGGAAACTTATCGGAAAACCACAGGTGCTACCGACAACCCAGTTAGCTCATAGCGCTTCTGGAGGAAAGTTGAACATTGTTGGAGATGTTTGTTGCACAGTTTCAAGAGGAAACGCGAAGACAAAGGCAACACTATATCTCACAGAGAACCCAGGACTAGATTTGCTGGGTCTAGACCTATTAGAAACACTACAATTAACAAATAACTCCATCAACCACATATGCAGCGCCGTAAGAACCAGTAAACCAGTTGAGAAGGATCTGAAGAATGTTGTGTTAGAAAGACATAGTCAAGTGTTTACAGAAGAATTGGGGGAGTGCAAAAAGGCAAAAGCAGTACTGATTCTTAAACCGGGAGTTACCCCAGTCTTCAGACCAAAACGTCCTGTACCTTATGCAGCGTTACCTATTGTTGAGCAAGAACTAGAGCGTCTGCAAAGTAGTGGAATAATAGAACCAGTGAACTTTTCCGATTGGGCAGCATCAATAGTGATTGTCAAAAAGCCAAATGGAAGTATCCGGTTATGCGCAGATTATTCGACTGGATTAAACGAAGCGCTTGAAGTCCATCAATACCCTTTGCCGGTACCAGAAGATTTATTTGCAAAACTGAATGAGGGTAAGTATTTTGCAAAATTAGACCTGTCAGAAGCTTATCTACAGATTCCAGTAGCGGAAGAATGTAGGCATTACCTGACAATAAACACTCATAAAGGATTGTTCCGATATAACAGACTTCCTTTTGGAGTAAAAACAGCCCCTTCAATCTTCCAACAAGTCATGGATACTATGTTACAAGATATTCCTGGTACTGAGGCCTATCTCGATGACATTCTGATCATGGGTACAGACCATGCTGACTTAGAGAGTAAGGTCGACACGGTGCTTAGACGCATAGCAGATTATGGGTTCAGGTTGCGTGCTGAAAAATGTGATTTTTACATGGAGCAAGTCCGTTATTTGGGATTCATAATCAATAAAAACGGGAGAAAACCTGATCCTGAAAACGTTGAAGCCATCAAGTCCATGCCCCCACCGACGGATGTATCAACTTTACGTTCTTTCTTGGGAATGGTTAGTCATTATGGCGTCTTTCTTCCAGATCTGCATCGCCTTCGTGCTCCACTTAATTGCTTACTGAAAAAGGATACCAAATGGTTTTGGTCAACCGAATGTCAAGAAGCATTCCTAAAACTAAAGCAGCTCCTATCATCAGACCTTCTACTTACACATTATGACCCAGATCTTCCAATTATAGTCGCGGCAGATGCGTCAAATTGTGGAATCGGAGCTGTAATTTCACATACCTATCCTGACGGGTCTGAGAAAGCAATCGCCCACGCAGCAAGATCACTGACTATGACTGAAAGAAACTACAGTCAGATTGAGAAAGAAGCTCTCTCCATCATATTCGCTGTAAAAAAGTTTCACAAGATGCTGTTTGGCAGACAGTTCACCTTACTAACAGACCATAAACCGCTACTGACAGTATTCGGATCTAAAAAAGGTATCCCGGTATATACAGCAAACCGGGCAACTACGCTACTGGGTTATGATTTCAAGATAAAGTACCAACCAACAACCGACTTCGGACAGGCAGATGCCCTCTCAAGGTTGATTAATTCGCATGCAAAACAAGAAGAGGACGTGCATGTAACTGCCATAGAAGTCGAGGCTGAAGTTCACAAAGTATTAACAGACGCAGTTTCCGGACTCCCGGTAACATTCGAAGCCATTAAAGAAGCTAGCAAGAAGGATAATACATTGAAGATTGTTCACCGCTGCATACTCAACAAGTGGCCTTCATCTAGACTACGTGGCGAACTCTTACAATATTTTCGTCGACGAGATTCCTTAACAGTTGTCGACTCGTGCATCATGTTTGGCCACCGTATCGTTATCCCTAGAAGCCTTCGGCACCAAGTCATTAAGCGATTTCACTGCGGACACCCGGGGATAAGTAAAATGAAATCACTAGCTCGCAGCTATGCATACTGGCCGACAATGGACCGTGATATAGAACAAAAATGTCGCAGTTGTTGGTCCTGTCTAGAGGCTGCGAAGAATCCAACAAAAGCTGAACCACAACCATGGCCAAAACCGGACGGGCCTTGGCAAAGAATACACGCCGATTTCGCCGGACCAATACAAGGCAGAAATTACTTAGTTGTTGTCGACGCTTTTATAAAATGGCCAGAAGTATATGATATGCCGAAAACGACATCAGACAGTACAATAAGAAGATTGTCAGGATTGTTTGCTTGTTTTGGGGTTCCAGAGATTTTAGTGACCGATAACGGCACTCAGTTTATGTCATCAGCTTTCAAACGCTTTTGCAGTGAAAATGGCATATCGCATCTACAATCTCCTCCGTACCATCCTCAGTCGAATGGCCAAGCAGAAAGATTCGTGGATACGATAAAAAGAGCTCTGGTAAAGGGGAGAGGTGAGGGTATCCCAGAACAAGTGATCAGTAAGTTCCTAATGTCTTACAGAGTTACCCCCAATCCGGCAGTACCAGAAGGAAAGTCACCAGCCGAGTGTATGTTCGGAAGAAAAATTCGCACAGTCTTCAACAGTATGTTACCACCTAGGAAGACAATAAAACCGATGAATGAGTATCGTACGATCACTCGTAGCTTCCAGGTGGGTGAAAGGGTACTTGTCAAAGCCTATCAAGGTAATAGGAGATGGGAACCAGGTGTCATAGAACGTCGAATCGGAAATGTACTGTACCTAGTCCGGAAGGGTGTCGGAAAATGCATAAGACACATAAATCAAATGTAAAGAGACAGCAGTACAATGGTCCCAGGAAGCCGGCTCCCATTTCAATTGCTCGTGGATTCACCTCAGAAAAGCCATCATGAGCGCAAACATAGAGGAGGCAAACGACGCAAGGGAAAATTTGTACAACCCTCGAGAGTGATGGACCGTAAGAGGAATGCGGCCAAAAAGTTCCAGGTGGACCCGAGAAAGAAGTCTTACACAACGGACTTTAAAGGAGGGAGGTGTGACGACGGACCACGGGTAAACTCGAGGAAGCTATAAGAGGCTCAGAAGGAGCCGAAGATATTCCAGCCAATCACCGTTAGCAAGAATATTCTAGAATCCCTACGTGTAGCTTCCCGATTGGACAAGGCTAATAACCCCCTGTATGCGGATTGGAGGACTATAATGATGATTTTTGTTCTTTCTAAAACTATAAATACCTGACAATTTGTACCCATAATTGACACTGTTTGGAATAACATTCCTTTCACTAGTCTTCTGTCTTCTCTTTGCGACTTGGAAGGGTTTGGGCGTTCGTGTGTTCAGTTGTACGCGTTATATCAAGTAAATCAACCATTTCTAGATATAACAATATATCATAATCCCAATTATTCTCTCGTATCTAATATATATATTTGGTCACTGTTTCATCTGAAAGACTGTCTGAAAAAATCTTCTCTAAGGAATTGTTCCAATTGCTCCCTCAACATGTATCCATTCTTTAATCGAGTATAAAATGAATTAATTGTATTATTGATTGTATCAATTAGTTGTAATTACAGTTCAGGGTTTGACTGTTTTACCAACATTTCTGCCATATTATGATGAGTTTTAACTGAAGTTTAATAAATTACTTTCTCTTGACTAGACAACTGATTTCAAATTATCGATTTAGGAAGATATTGTTTTAGACTGTTAATCTTTTAACAACAGTTGTCATAACTGCCCAAATCCTGTAGGAATTGTGTTGGTTATTTGAATGATCATTTTAACTAATAAGATTGATGTGGCTGCTTACCAAAACTCCATAAAACACTCTTGAGCCTACAAGCAACGGATATAGAAAGATAGAACAAATTGTCAGTGAAACCTCAGTCGTAACATACGACAAAATCATACATTTATGTACAAAATATTTTGCACAAAATAAACATGATTAAAAATTATTGAGGAAATGGACGGTTGTTAATTTATAGGCTATTCAATAACTTATAAAATTAAGACCTGAATATAAAACTTACTTATTAACCAGAATATCAATGATAAACAACAAGTCGATGAAAATGTAACAGTGAATCAGAATACTCTGGTTATTTATAAATATAGATTTATACTGAACGTAATCAGAGAGGAGTTTCGTGGATATTATAGTAATTTTAGTAGTTGAATTTGTGAGTCAGTTGAAGCTAAACCACCATGAAAAACATGGAAGCTCTGGACGGCCGTTTTGTCCTAGTATGCGACTCCTCAGTGGCAGTGGATATCCACGATCCCACCTCGTGATATTCGAACCGAGGACTTGTTGGTCTCACGCACGAGCGCTTAAACTCTAGATCACTCAGCTGGTCGGCATCGAACAATGTTAATGTCCAACTTCAACTAATCCACGAAATTGAGCAACACATCTACCATTGTTTCCAGTGAGTTACTATCTCACAACAGACCACGTTGAATTCCACTGGTCACTGTTTTTCACCAGAACTTCAGGAAATACCTCTTGAAGTCAGTCACAAGTGAGCGTATGTTGTTTAGTATCAGAAGGGGCTTTGTTGATATTATAGTAATTTTTAATATTGAATTTATGAGTCAGTTGAAGCTAGACCTCCATGGAAAACCTAGAAGCACTAGACTGTTAGATTCTGGGTTCGAGTCTCGCGAGGCAAGATCGTGTATGAGCACTGACACTGAAGAGTCTCACAATAGGACGAAACGTCCATCCAGTGCTTTCAGGTTTCCCATCGTGTACCGGCTTCACTTGAGTCATGAAATAAACTATTAAAATGATACTGAACAGTAAATTAAGGTAAATCACAATGTGTCTTCCTTAATACGAATAAAAATGGCATGAAAGATATTGAAAGGGTTAGCAATTGTATTCTGTAAACAGACCATCTGTATGGTTATTATATCATTTGAATACTTCAATCAGATTAGAAGTAATATGTATTTTCTAGCAGATAAATTAACCGACATATTCTAAAACAAAAAAATAGATACAAACAATAATTCAAGTTTGTGAATCCTTAGAACTGAAATTGGAACTATCTCCCAATGTTGTTGTAAGGATAAACTGATTGTTATGATAAAAATGTAGACATATTTCAATAAAAAAACTCGTTAATCTTTGTTCGTTATTCTTTACAAAATGAAATGTTTTCTGAAACCATTTATTCTTACTGAGTTTGTAGGTATCATTACCAAGATTTGATTTGATAATTTCGAATAAATTGAGCGTTATTATTTATTCATTCATTCTTACATTATAAGCCAAGATAGATAGTGGCTAGCAATGGAATCCAGGGCGCGCGTTCCATCCTAGTTGGGACACGTCAGTTGGATGTACCTGCATCTCAGAGTTGATGCTCACTGAAGGACTCAAACCCAGTACTGCTCGCTTCAAAAACCATCGCGTTAATCACTTAGTCGCTGAGTCCTGATAGCCACCTGTTCGTGTAATGGGGTGAAGTTTAAATTCACTTAATATTATTTGCATGAATCTTCCCATTGTTGTTTAGGACTGCAACTGATCAGTCACTTGTTGGCATATGTGCACCCTGTACCGATATCAGAACAAATACATGAGAAAAAAATTATAAAGATGAAAAAGAGAAGAGGAGAATTAGCGATATTCATCACATTACAGAAAAGTAGTTCAAAAGGAATGTATTAGAGAGAATAATGATCTCAATCAACGTTTATACATCGTCTAAAAGATATAACGCTTATACATTAATTCTCACAGTTGCAAAGATTGAAAAAAATGTTCATCTTTGATTGTATATATCTTATCTCTAATATTCCCTCCCCCCTTTCTCACCTTCTACTTTTTCTTATTAATTAACAATAAAGATTACAAACGCCAGTGTTAAAGTGTACAAAAAATGTAAGTTATACCATAAACCTCTATTTAATATAAATTACCGACAAAACATAAAATATCATCATTTACATGGAGACAGATTTGAAAATAAATCAAAAGAATTATCAAGAATGGACAAATTCTATGCTCTGTCAGGAGGACCATATCATGGTGACAAATTTTTAGTAAGTTATCATGTAGTTTGTTTATTCGGTTCTTTCTATGATGATATTTCTAAATATGTATTTATTAAATTACAACTACAGTCCATCTTTCGCATTTTAAGACTTTCCAACTTAGTACAAATAAAATGTAGGTCATTTTTCATATCACAGTTTCAAGTATCCCATTTAAATATAAATCCCGCTGTTTAAGTTCAGTAACTCTGAAGATCAGTAAAGTAAATTTACTATAACAGATTACCTACATTGTTATATGGGTCACCTACAATCCTTTACTAGATTGTTCTTAGTACCTCTAAATATCACAGTGAGCACGATACCTATAAACTATTGAATCTGGACCAAACATTCTTCATTTATAATTTTAATTATTCCTTGATATTACTCAACGATCATCTAATTTCATTGTCGGTAAATTTCTTATTCATAAAATTGCTAAACCTGAGTAGTTATGGCTTTTCGCTAGAAAGTTTGGGGTTCTTCTTGAAGCAGGCTACTATTGAGAATATATTGATCCAGGAGTATTGAGCAACTCATTAAAGTTGGAAATGAAGGTGGTAATAAAAATTATCTCTAACTGGTGGGAGCTCACTAAGAAATGTTTAATATGGCTACTAGAAAAACCGCCAACAGATATTCCATAATAAAAAAATAACCACATCCTATTAGTGCACAGAATTAACTATTATCGACTTAATTTCTGAGTCGATTATTCATTTATTTATCAATAAATGAATCTAATAAAATAATTACTTGATTCTTGGGTCATCGATCTGGTATAGGGAATTTATAAATCCTCTTGTAGTAGTCCTGTTGTCACCGGATGTCTTATTAGCGAAATATCCCACCGTTCGCCTACACAAATAAAATCATTTCCTAGCTTGGAACATTATATTTAGTTGAGGTTCGGTTTTCAAGACGTATGTAACTCTTTATTAAAGTAGATTAAAATATCAAAGAAACAACCCGTCTGAATATCTGAGCTACCTGTTCCTGCTATCTGGATATCTCAACAAGTTATCTGTTTCCTTGTTTGGTTTAACAGATCGTTATATCAATTAATTGCATAAACTATTCAGGTGTGTTTGTGAAAAGTTTACGACCTTACTCTGTGCAAGTTACAAAAATGTACAGTTGGATACATCATGATGGCTGGCAATATGCATTGAAAAGAATGAATATTATTCAAATGTCGACTTCTGAATTGTTAATATCTAACTGGCGATCACATAATATTTACCGTCAATATCGATCAAGAAATAAGAAAACAAAACTTATGGAAAAACTTTGGGCTGAGAATTCTATGTTGTACTAAAAATATAATATTGAATAAAGCTAATAATACTAATTACTCAATAATTCCTGATTTACAAATATGATGTTTCTTTCAATTCAGTGAACCTGAATCCAACAAAACAAACTACCAATTCAAAAGGACACTACCAACTTTAAGGTGACTTTTCAAATGATATTGATTTGAAATTACAAATCTAACAATCTGAAGTATTCTGACAAGTTTACATGAGAATAATTGAGAATTCTGAATTTACCGGTCAACCAGTCATCAACATATACTGCATATTAAGGGAAATATCACAAAGATCACTTCACATTTTAAAATATTTCTGATATAAAGCTGTACTTTACTTATGTTGTTAGTAATATATCGTAAAATAATAAAATGTGTCAATTCATTGGCACAGTTTTATGAACAATATTTCGACATAGAGTCTGTCGAATGATCTGAAATTAACCGAAGTCTATATAACTAAACTGTGAGGACGGCCCCCGGGTGAAGTCGACGAAGCTCTAAGAAGCTCAGAAAGAGCCGAAGATATTCCATCCAATTATATTTTGGAAGAATATTGCAGAATCCCTACGCGTAGCTTCCCTTTTGCACAAATGCTAATTACCTCCTGTATGCAGATTGGAGGACTATAATGATGATTTTGTTTTTACTAAAAATTATAAATGCCTGAGGATTTTGTACCATATTTGGCACTGTTTGGAACAGCATTCCTTTCACTTGTCTTCTGTCTTCTCATTTACATCTTGGAGGGTTCTAGCGTTCGAGTGCTCAAGTTGTACGCATTATATCAAGAATCTAACTTTTAATTATAACAACTGGCGACGTGGTCAACTTGTCAAAATGTCATTTACCTTTGACCAAGTTGAAGCTTTGCTGGGGCGTCATGGAAAACTTTACGAACAGTTCCAGATTCGTATTCTTGAAGCTCTAACCCAGCAAATGAACCTAAACCAAAACGGCTTTACAGATGATATGTTCAAATACCATGTCGACCACATCATCAATTCTATCCATAAATTCCATTTTTATGGTTTTGTTGGTGTTACATTTGAATCGTGGTTCAATAAACACGAAGATATATCCAAGGTCGATCTATAAAAATCTGAGGATACCGCAAAGGTCAGAGTACTGCTACGCAAACTTGGCACAGCTGAACACGAACAGTACACCAACTTCGTTCTCTCCAGTAATGCCATAGACCTTTCGTTTGATGCAACGGTTGTAATTTTGTCGCAAATTTTTGGTGAACAGTAATCTTTGTTCAGTATTCGCTAACAATGTCTTAAGTTGGCGAAATTTGGAGACGATGACTGGGTGAAACATGCTGGCATAATAAATCCGGAGTGTGAATGTTTCGAATTATCGGCAATGACAGAAGACCAGTTTTTGTATGCAGCTTGCAGTCACCTGGAGATGCCGATATCAGAACCAGAATTCTGAGTAAAATAGAACGATGTCCAACTATAACGCTACAAGTGACTAGTGAATATCAGAGGTTAGTGACCTTGAAACATGACTCTTCTATGGTTGGAAACAGTGGCCGGCCACCATACGTACAGACCAGAAAGGCTTTTTTACGAAAGCAGGACAGCTTAAACAAAGAGCCTCCATCCTCGTGCTGGTTATGCAGGGAGTGGCATTACAAGAACCTTTGCCCATATAAAAACTATCGTAGTAATAAATGTCAGCATAAAGGACATAGAGAATCCTGCTGTAAAAACAAGATGTGTCGTTGTCCACTGCGATTTTATTCCAGGAGACATAAACCTCATGCATCAACCAGAAAAATACTGGTAGCAGACACATAAACAGACTATAGTCGACAAAAATTTGTAACCATCGAGGTTGACGGTCACCGTGCGCGCCTGCATTTCGCCACTGCTTCCGACATCACACGTATTAGCCGAAGAACCTAGAAGCACATTGGAAAACCGCAGGTGTTCACAACAACCTAATAAGCTCGTAGTGCAGCTGGAGGGAAATCAAATATTGTTGGAGAGGTATGCAAAGACGAATGCAACATTATACCTCACAGAAAGTCCAGGACTAGATTTGCTGGGTCTAGACCTAATAGAAACACCTCTCAATAGTAATTTATTCACAAAGTTTAAACTCATTTGTCTCATCATTACCTTAAAATTATAGTGATTCAGTTGACCCATCATTGCCATCTTCACAAATAGTGCATATGAATTATTTCCCTACACTACGTTACTATCTTTGATCTTAATCAAAATGTCACTTAGTGATTGAAATATATAAAACATTCTATAATAATTGATAATCCTTTATTTATCATAGTTTTGGCTAGATAACTGAAAATATAAATCCCTTAAAATAACACGATGTTGATTCACAGACATTTGTTTGATTCCTTGCTAGTAAATATCAACATGTTTATATTTTTCAACCTAATTACACTAATTTACAAACTAACCCAGTATAATGAAGAATATTGTTGGGACGACTTCCGACAACTATGACAGAGCCTCATAAGGCCCTAAAGAAGCCCAAGAGTTTCCATCCAATCAAAACTTGATGGAGCTGATTCGCGACTGCGGGGTTTTATACATTCAAGTGCCCTAGTTGTATACTGCATTCTGTGTTAATCAAGTAGCGAAAATAACAATTATCAATACTGGTTTATGTACAAATTTATTATATCTCATTATATTTCATTATTTCAGGGTCTTATGAAACGACTGAAAATGTTTTTTACTGAATATGGAGCTCGAAAATATTGTTCTGATGATAGTGTAAGTGATCAATACTAGTTATTGCTGTATGTTATAATAAAGAATAATATTTAAACATGCATTGAATACTACTCTGAATTACATATTGTTGAATGACTAGTTTCGACTTTCTTAATGTAACTGAATGTCCCAATAAAATTTCAAGACAATTTTGAAATATTATTTCGCCTAATAATTTATGGGGAAAAATTATCTTTAAAGGCTTGAAATCACCTTAATAAATTGACACTGATAAATTGACTGATAGGTCCTGGGTTCGAATCCCGTGGGGCGGGGTCGTGGATGCACACTGCTGAGGGGCCCATAATAGAACGAAAAGGCCGTCCAGTGCTTCCAGGTTTTCCATGGTGGTCTAGCCTCAAATGACTCATGATCTCAAATATTGGAATTGACACTTAATAAATATGAATCGCGAACCCTGTGTACTGAATAACCATTTCGTTTTAGTTCATAACACTTCAATAGTTCATTCTTATTTAAAATGGGATGACTTTTCAGTACTTCCAGTTCTCATTACTTCTGTAGTAAACCATAATCTGTAAGAATAGTAGTTGATCAAGACTAAGAGCTAGACAGACAGATAATCAATCACTACTGCGTTATTAGTCAATGTAAATATCTTAATCCTACTTAAGATCATTTTCTGCATGAATAGCTCTGTGTTCTTTTCCTTAAAGATTGAATGATCCTATTATTAGATGCCTAAAAGGAAAGAGTTGTTTTGAACAATTTCTTAGTTTTACGTCTTCATCAAGAGACATGTCTTATTGGTATTTTGTCCTAGGTGTTTGAATTTTTGCTGAGTTGTGAAAATAAACATCTCCATAACGTAACTGTTCCTTTTGATCATTAAATATATTTAAAAATGCAACAACGACTACTTATTTTCACAGTTGCTATCCATGAGTAAGATTTTATGAATCTTTTCACTGGATCATATGTGTTAAAAATACTACAATCATGAGAATTCGTATAAAACTTTAATCGACCATATAGATGAAATTTATACATAGAAAGCAGCTATCTCTCAAGTAAAAAATTGTAATCTTCTGATCGTCTTCAAATATCTCTTTAAGAAATAATACCCCAATGTACATATCCGATTAATCAATGTAAATCTACCCTTATTGTATACAATGGGTTGACTCCTTGGGATATAAAAAAACAAGATGAAACTATGCCATAAAATTTTGTTTAACATGATAACATTAATTAAAATATGAAGGTTATCAAATTTCACCGTCAGAAGTAGATAATCCTTAACATTACTTACTTGCTTACCAACTTCCATACTTACTTACTTACTCCTGTAACTCCCAGTTGAGCATAGGCCGTCGATATTAACATTACCTTTCTATATATAATCCAGTTTACCTAACAAATAGTAAGAAAAACACCTTTCTTCATTCTATATCCATACAAAAACTGGATATAATGCGTATTGTGTGTGAACTTCTGTTTCATTCATTGGTAAAGTACTCTGCTTAATTTCTGCTTCATTCTCAACTGAACTCACTAACAATAAATGAAAAAATAACCTTTAGATTGACAGTACTTTTAGTTTATGTATTGCAATGTAATAATCTTCATCATCCATTTAAAAAAAATAGTGGATGTCCTCCGTAGTCTGAATATCTGGGCTACCTGTTCCTGCCATCTGGGTATTTCAATAAGTTATTTGTCTTCGTGTTTGTTTCAACACATCATTATGCCTATTAATCGCATAACCTATTCAGCTGCGTTTGTGAAATGTTTACGACCTTTCTGTTTGCAAGTAACAAAAGTACTAAATCACAGACATCGTGGTTGCTGGCAATATGTATCGAAAAGAATATACATTAATTAGATGTCGATTACTGAACTGCCAACTTTTAACTGATGATCGCTCAATAGTCATCGTCAGAATCAATTAACAAATAAGAAACGGATACTTGTTGAAATACTTTGTACTGAGTATTCTATATTGTACCAAAAATATAATACTGAATAGAGCTAATAATAATAATTATAATAAATATTTCGCCAAAAGTTTGAATAAATCATTAACAAACATTGAATTCGTTATGAATCTCGGGCAGTTATATGCTTTAACCTGGTTTAGAATGAATGATAAGTAAAACTTTTTGATCACATAGAAACCGGTTTTCATAAATTTATCTTTCGTATATTTGCCCAGAATTTCAAACTATGCAAAAGTAGTTTAAATAAACAATATATCCGAACAGAATGGCAGAAATTAAAGCCATTTGACCAGTCAAATCATACAGGTGAGGAAATGTGAGTAAGTACCTCATACATTGTTGTGTAACTATGTTTTCCGATTATTTTGCCAACATCATTTTCATTTACTCATTTAATGCAGAGATCTTTACATTATTAGTGTATAATTCAGAATCGGATCTAGAAAAGGATTTAGCTTTCGGCAATAATGTAAATAAACCTGATCGATGGTTTTTCACCAGCATAAAACTTTATTTCGTTGACTAAGCCGATTCTTGAGACCGATAAAACCCTGAACTCATTCTGACTTCCTTCGATTAAAGTGTTTTTTACCACTGGTCGATAAGCCCCCGTAGTCTTTATAGTCTGGAAAATTATAATAACTATTATAAATAGTATCTCTTGATTTGAAGTTCACTCTATAATTAAAGCATATGTACTAAAAGAAATATCTAACTTGGTCTCAAGTTGTTTATTAAACCATAAATATAAAAATGAGGAGCGCTTTTAAATGTGAAAACACTAAAAAAGTTCGTACTTACCTAAAACAATTATTCATGAAGCGTGTGTTGAGCTCAGATTGATTCTTCTCATTGGTATAAACATGCACATGCATAAAAACTACTAGGAGTGATAATATAACTAAGTGGATAATTATATTCAGGAACAGAGCCCATGTTATTAAGTTGTTCATTAACATTTTGCATTAAAGTTGGTGTTTGTTGCTGTCAAATTAAAATGGGCAAGGACGTTTTTCATTTCAAATAAGAGTCAATATATTTCTTGATCACTTATTTTCAGTTAATTTGTTTCCATATTTTGAGTTTGTTCAGCACTCATAATTCTTTCCATTAGAAGTTCTTTTAACTAGTTTTCATTATAATATGGCGTCAACTTTAAAACAATCGAGAAAAAAGGAGTAACAGACACATTATCTCTTCTTGTATGAGACAATAATGTACACTAAAAGCCGCTAAAGGTCGAACCTTATACATCCAGGTATTGGAACGAGCTATTTAACTGTAAATAACTCATTTTGGATCCTGTGATCTTTTAAAGCCTCGTTTGATTCACGGCTTTGGTTCGCACTCATATATAATCCATTCAATCACAAAATGGTTGAATTCCACTATTCAACTTACTGTTAGATTCCCAAAACCATGGCTTAAGAAAAAAGAGATGTTCATCAGGCCTGAAAGTTTAAGCCTTGAACCGTTTTCAGATATTTATCAATGAGGAGTAGATATTCAACGTTCTGTGGTTCCACGGTTAACATTAGAGTACTTTTCCAGTCAGAAAGCCATTGATAATCAGAAAGCATTGGACAATTATTTAATCCTAGTGTGGGACTTCACAGTGGTGCTCATTCATGACCCTATCGGTACTCAAACCTAGAAAATTTAAGTCTCCCTTAGGATGCTTATGCTTCAGGTTACTTTGCAAGCATTCAGTGGTTTTCATGTTTCACATTAAACATTTAACAGTCCGTCATAGTATGGTGACGAAAACCACTTTAAATTCAACGTATTCACAATCAAATTGCTGTTCTTGTATGACAATAATTAAACGTTTTAGTCAATCAGCCTTCTTACCTGTAAAATAACCGTAGCTGATACCTCTATTTTCCCCGATTCTGGTAAATATGGGGACAGTGGTCCTCATATATTCTGGTATTTGTTTAAGCATCTGTGCTATTTATTTCATTCTGTAAATAAATTAATTTTAGGTTAGTATTTATCATTAACAGACAACACAAATGAAGAACTATTGAAAACCACTGAAGCATTAAATGGTTACTTTGTCCGAATATAGGACTGTTCAATTATATCAGCTAAGTTACTGTTCATAGTACATGGTTACTATACTATGAATCAAAACAGACCTTAAGAAAATTATTATAAAAAAATTCTATAGTTGAGTCGATTCCATAATTATTATTTTCGCATGTAAACTAAGTGAGCACAGACGAAAGTATTGCATTTGAAATTCAAAATCGGTCATCAGATATCAAGTATAAAGGAATCATTATTTCATACAAAATCTACAATTATATTAAACCAATTTTTAAGATCTGATGAATCATTTTCAAATCGTTGAAACTAAACCTTGTATCCAAAGGAATTATTGAGATTAAGGAGATGTAGTCAGTACTCTTTATATCAACGTAATTATCCAATTTAATGAAATAATTAAAGTAGAATCATTTAGTTTTGTATTACAATCATTTGTTTCAAATAGAACTAAATGTTAATTTTTATAATGAAATTATCAGATTACTGAGGTAAACTTCAATATGAGGCTTTTTCTGAGATAATGAATCATGTTATGAGATAACATAAATTTAAAAATAAAATGCCAACTAATTGACTCTAACTTTCCATTTCATTGACATGATTTTAACCACAAAATCAAGAAATCTAGATTTGTGTAGCTGATTTAGAAATGAGCTTTAGAGACATTATGTTCTATGAAGTGGTAAGCAGATAGATTTCACAGTAAATACACTGATGTATTATAACATATATGATTGTTATCTACAGGATATTATATTCCACTGAAACGTGGAATAGCACAAGACAAATCTGGTCTGTAACTGTGACTAAATAATGTTTTCAAACGATATGAAATTAGGATGAAAAATGTTCTGAATGGGTCGTCTAAAGAGCTTCAATAACAACGTAGATCTTTTAGTATCATTTATTACGACTATACAGATGTATGAATCAAAATTTTAAGTAAAAAGATTTCACCTTACCGACTAAAGATTTGAAATGACTTTTATTATCAGCTGTTTCTAATCAGATAAATGGTTTGATTTTGAATTTTCCGTTACACCACTGACATAGATTTCAGAGAACAGTGAACTGTTTGAGCTGTTCAATAAGTGACTAACAGGTTGTCTTCTTAACATGGTCATTGATAGATTGTTAAACATGATATTTTGTTACGGTTTGCTTATATATTTTCATTGCTTTCTTACTTGACTAGAGCCATGATTTTATATTCTATCAATATTTTTCTTGTTGAAGGATAAATTGAGTCTTTTCCGATTTTTTTACTGACCGCTTCTAAATGTTCTTTGGTTTTGTTTGTGTTCCTTACCCTCATTATTTTTTGCCTTTTTAAGTCAAACTTATGTTCGTGGTTATCCATGCGCAGTAACATTAACGAGAGTATACCATAATGTGCGATAACAAACTTACGTTGCATGTTCCACATAGTTTGTGAAAACACGTCACTACCTGTGATCTTGGTGTCATTAAAAGTGTAAGACAAATTCGAAAGACTCTAGTTATTATTCTATCGTCTTTCTCTTCTTTCACTATTAGCTAATATCAAGATAAATTCCTAAAGTTTTGATCAAAAACCATAGCCTATGTAATCAACACAACTAAGAGTGGGGAATTTCAATCGATCATATTGTACACAAGACTATTGGCTAAAATCAAAGGGGAATACAATAATGAAATATACAAAATTGATCCATAAATTTACATTTGATGCAATACTGTTTTAGTTAGATTAAATTTGACTTAGTCTACAATTTCAACCATCGAGACAATTCATTAATACATTGTATTATTTATTGACGCCTACATACAAACAAACATACATACATACATTTAGTAATGAATATTAACTTCCCTATTATCAATTTCTAAAGAAAGTTTAATTTGTCTCATTCACATTTTCTGCCCTTATCATTGAATAATTCCTACACAATATGTGTTTATGTGTAAATGAAAAATAAACTTTGGGTATTATATTGACAGGTGATTCAGTTACATAACTTACATTAATGTATAGTGTAATTCAGTATTATCTAATGATGAATTGAATAACTAATTCATTTATTACATAACATTATCACTGAAGGCAAAGACACTATAAATTTCTGAAAAGTAGAAGCAACACTAAAATTATTGTTTTAATTCACCTATACATATATGTAAATTATATTTTTTCCCAATATAATCATGTATTTAACTAATTCAATGATAATTAAATCTATTTCTATTTTATACATTATATTCATTTATTTAGTTCAATTAAACAATAATGAACAGATCAATATTAAAATCAATAAACCATTAAACAATATTATCTATAATAGGACAAAACAATCATTTAACAATAACAATGATGTAACCGTAAACAATCGATCGAAATCAAATAAATGTAATCAAAATATTCATGAAGATAATTGTACTAAATTAAATTTAAATAAGCCAGTGAAAAATGTAAGTTCAAATTTAATTATATATATATATATATATATATATATATATATATATATTTAATAGTTGAGATCATGGGTCAATTGAAGCTAGACCACCATTGAAAACCTGGAAACACTGGGTGGGCGGTTCGTCCTATTGTGAGACTGCTCGCGGGATCCGAACCCAGGACCACTGAACCGGCATCCAATGGTGTTAATGTCTGACCTTTTAAGTTTATACATAAATGTTCTTAACAAGTATATTGTGTGTGATAACATTATTTGAAATGTATCACATAGTTCTGATAACCTTTCTCTTCTTTATTACCTTATCAATATTTATCAAAGGGACTAATTGCTTTAAATGAAAATTAATGAAACCAAAAGTTATCTAAGAATTCGACCACTTAATTGATCGAAATAAAAGAAGACAATTTTTCCAGTTTGAATGATTTGTTAAATTTATTAAGCTTAGAGAAAATCTCTTATGTGGAGGGATTTAGAGTCTCCTCTCTTCATTTTTATTACACCTTTCAAAAGTATACATCCTATTTTTTCCTGTGGAATTATTTTTGGTATACGAATCTACATTATACACGTATATATAATGCGCGTTTTTTCGCCTTTATAAATGTTTAAATTAGATTCCATATAATCAGAAACGTTGTTCGATAGGATAATGATGTATTAAGTATATCTAACTAAATAATCCTAAACACTGATGTTGAGATGGTGTAGAAGATTTGTAGCACACGTGGATGATTTTGATGGAGTTTTGTTCTCTGAGCTGGTCGGTTAGGTCGTGGGGCTTTCATCGTTCTCCTGAACGACATCTTCAGCACTTCTACCTGAAGTTTGTGCTGATGATATTGTTCAGAAGAACGATTAAAGCTCCACGACCAAACCATCCAGCTCAGAGAATAAAACTCCATAAAAAAACACTAATGTTGATAATGTCAAATAAACATGAGTAAAGGTAAAAAGTTTATAAAATAAAATAGTTATCCACCGAACTACCAATTCATAAAGATTACATGGTATAAAAAGAGACTAGATTGTTTCTTTCATGTTGATTTACTAGATCAAACTTATGATTGTTTGAATTTGTATGTATATCATTCATACAGTTATAAACATAAGATTGGTTCATTATTTAAAAGTCTATAATATACATATTTTACTGTACTCATAAATTTTATTTTGGGAAAAATCATCCAATAAGTTACAAAGAAACTTGTTAAAAGACATTCCCTTTCATGGTTTTATGCTTATTACACTCAACCCAGGCAAATACTCAATGAGTTCATTTTACCTACCTCTGGGGTATTTTGAAACAGAAAAAATAGTTTGAAACTCGTCATTTTGATAAAAACAAATTCAATGATGTAATTTTTTAGACTAATATCAGACATTAAGATCCCTACTTTTTTATTTCCGCAGCTATTTGGATGACTCTCCCGGTCTCTTACATTGCATAAGTAGTCCATGTACCTAAATTAATAGTTGCTCTAGTTGTCAGAAGAAGCATCAGCCTCATGATTTTCGAAGTAACTCGGCTTTCACCATAAGGCGTCATAATCTTCTAAATGAAGACCTAACTCCCATGGCAGAGTTTAAATGGTTTGAATTATGACTCTTAGTTTGAGTCTTTTTAGCGAGTTAGTTTTCTACGGGATGGGGTCGCTAACCCCATGCCTAACCGTTCTCTTTTTTCCGGGCTTGGGACCGGCAGTATCCCCAGAAGGCCTACAGGCAGTGTTAAATTCTTTTATTAATAATAAAAAACTCGATCATTTTGCTAAGGAGAAGTACCTGTTTCCAGTCATTAAGACTAGTTTTCATATAATAATCGTATTGATAGGACTGAATCACAAAATTAGGAATTAGATAAGATGATATTATCAGATATTTTCCATCGTTTAGAAATTCAGTTAATTTAACATCTATATATTTCAAAAAATCACTAGTCAGAGAACAAAGACTCGGTTTTCTAGTGAGACAAGTACTCTGAAAATCAATTAACAATGAAAATAACTGCATTATTATCAATAATATTTTAGTCAGATACATGGTAAATAACTGGTAAGTGTACGAAATGCAGCGAATAATTTCAGCAACGAACATAATAAAATTACTTCTAACGATAGATTTTATTTAAAATTTGAAGAAAATCAAATGCATTGTGTTTTTTTTCTTAAAATTATTAGTTCTAGGGTTACATGTTACAGGATATTACGTTTTCGTTATACAATATATTGAAAAGATTAATAAAGAAATAAATAGATGACAACGTAGGGATTCGTAAGTAGTGTATTGTAAAAGAAATGACATATGCAATTTCCAGTTATTATGATTTTTTATATTAAAAACCAAATTTGTTTTGATGTTAACATCAAGTTTCCCACGAACATTAGCTTCTAAACTTATACAGAAGGATTATCCTTTATAGTGAAGCTGATTATAAAAAGGACTAATAACTTAAAATGCTGCTTTTTTAAGAAACAGATTTGAAGGTGAAAATAAGATGAATTTGATTACTTCTAGTTTTAAAGTTAAGTGGAATGCATTAAAAGAAAATGCATTAAAATGCATTAAATAAAACATGAAACAAGTATGAGGGTCCTTGTTTCAATCACTAAATGGCTCATAAATGCACAGTCCTGAAGAATTTCGTTCTAGAATGCCACAAAAACAGTAGTTTCAGGTTTTTATTGGTGTCAGTCAAACAAATGCAGAAGATTAACTCTTGTACTGATAATGACTAATTATAAACATCTGACATAATTTTTTCGATTAGCTACATAGAATAGTCATGTCAACACTATAAAAAATAAACACGATGACTGATCAACGGATAGCAAATGTGCTCATAACCTAATTTTATTGAATTACTAGTGTTATAACTTGTGGCCTGTGTGCTCCGTTAATGTATAAATTAATGATACCGCCAATTAGAGAGCAGTGAATTATTAATCCAACCAATGACGCCTAAAACCCGTATGACCAGTCTAGAGTACATATCGGTCCTGCTTCCTGCCTAGCCAATCTCAGCCTCTGCGATATGAATCATTTACTTCAAACATACTCGGTTTATATACCGACCAAACAGACCACATCGTACCATTATATATATATATATATATATATATATATATATATATATATATATATATATATTGAGCATCCACGACCCCACACAGGGACTCAAACCCTGGACCGTCGGTTTCATGGGAAACATTTAACGTCTAACCAATTCTCTGTTTACTCATAATAAAATGGTCTAAAGAAAATTCCTTTATTAACTACTAACAACTAATTATTTTTGTGAGAAAGAAAAATCTATAGCATTTGATCTGCACTAAGAACTTGACGCACATGACATTGATCACCCAGTGATCAATCAATTGTGATTACATCTCAGTCCTACATGAGGTCGGTCGCGGCACGGATAGCCCAGTGGTCACGTCTCTGACGGTGAAGCTGGGTGGCATGGGATCGAATCCGTCTGGCAACACCAGTTTCCTCAAAATTACAGGGACACTTTACTGACGAGTGCCAAGTAGCACGAAACCCCTGTCCAGCGTTTCCTGTTGACTACAACCATCATCTAATCCCAAAACAGTGCACACAATGTCGAGTCGCCTAGACCACTGACCACATTACAACTTGGTCAATAGCATTCGATCTGCACTAAAAATGACTAGACACGCGCAACATTAATCACCACCCAGTGATCAATCAATTGTGATTATATGATTTGTTTATTTTGGTAGAAAAGTAAAGAATGTTATTGTCTAACTCTTTAGTATAATTCGATGAAATCTCCATAATCTTAATTTCCTTCATTTCCTAATTAATGAAACTTTAATGAATGATTGACACCTGGAAAACCATATATATATATATATATATATATATATATATATATATATATATATATATATATATATATATATGATTGGATGCATTTCGTCAATAACGAAATTTTAACTACCTATTCATCATAGATAGGTATTAGCTAAATCAACATTATTTATAATCTCAATGTCTAAAAAATAACTTTTTTGAATGTAAAGCTAAATGAGTACAATTGACATTTGTTGATGAGTATTGGTATGTTAAGTATAGTAGATATGTATTGGTATTTACAATCGATCGGTCACTAAGTGAGATGAACATTGTTACATATGTTGAACTGTTCCTAATGTTGATAAAATTCTACTGATCACGTTTCTATGTGGATATAGTCTAAGTGATGGTTGAAGCTAGGACTTACGTTTTGTGCTATGTGGTGCTCGCCAGCATGGTGCACCTGTAATCTGGAAGGAACTGATGCTACCACGTTAAATGTCAACATAGTATGGACAATATCAAGTCACTTGGACTATTGGGCACATGACTACCTGATCGGTAGTATTTGACCAGCAATAAAGAAGGACTTTAAATATATAAAAAATTGATCATCATCTGTTGACTGATGAATTGTTAATACATTTTAGTCTTAAAAGAGGTCAACCGTGACGCGGATTGCTCAATAGTAATGTCTCTTACTGTGAAACTAAGTGTCAGGGAATTAAATCTGCCAAGGATTATCAGTCCCCACAAGATATTAAATAACACGGAATCTAGAGCAAGAGTTTTCTATTGATTTTCTTCAAACATTAACTTACATCTATCGATATTCTACATTAATAAATTCATAAAACACAAGATATCCAGTCGATTAGTCTGAAATATCTGACATTAATAAAGTTGAAATCATGATTTCCACATAAAATAAATTTGATTTTTACATTCCAAAATTAATAAAGACAAAATTAGTTGATACACTTTCTACTTCTATTTTACTAACAGAAAGGTATTTTTTTAGAAAAAAAAACTTCAATTGAAAAAGAAAAATGAAGGGGAAAAGAGACGAAGTTGGAAAATTTGTAAACTGTGAATAAATTACTAGATTTTCGCTAATGTTTATTACATTTTATAAAATATCCTTAAAATAATGTTTCGACGCATGTAATATATCAAGTTACACTTGTATGGTGGATCTACATAATGAATAAAAATAGTTTCTTATGTAGAAAACATTTTTATGAAATCAATTTTCTTCTGAAAATATATAATGGAGAAGTAAAAGTGATAACGAGTGTAAAAAGAAAAAAAAGAAAGAAACTCCAACAGTTCACTGTAGGATATTGGTTCATGAAAGTGTAAATCAATGAAATCTATGTTAATAAGTCAAAACATTAAGACTAAGCCATTTCATTATTATTATAACTATTATTATTATTAGCTCTATTCAGTATTATATTTTTGGTACAATATAGAATACTCAGTACAAAGTATTTCAACAAGTATCCGTTTCTTATTTGTTAATTGATTCTGACGATGACTATTGAGCGATCATCAGTTAAAAGTTGGCAGTTCAGTAATCGACATCTAATTAATGTATATTCTTTTCGATACATATTGCCAGCAACCACGATGTCTGTGATTTAGTACTTTTGTTACTTGCAAACAGAAAGGTCGTAAACATTTCACAAACGCAGCTGAATAGGTTATGCGATTAATAGGCATAATGATGTGTTGAAACAAACACGAAGACAAATAACTTATTGAAATACCCAGATGGCAGGAACAGGTAGCCCAGATATTCAAGCAGGCTACCTCTAAACCATCTCATCACACATTATGGAAAAGTAGAGATTGATAACCTAAAATCGGTAGATATCTTTTTGAAAAATGTTATATAAAACAATTAATTGACTACCTCCAACCGCCATCTGATCCTAATTTCAATTCCTCACGGTGGTTTATAACCCTCTTTTCTTCCTAGTTATTAGGTGTAGATTATCTTGGTCACTTTCAGCGTCGCTTAAAGATCGTCCATAAATTATAGTCTCACCGTAAATCCGTTTAAATAAATACGACGTATTAATTCATTCATAACACACTGTTTACTGATTGTAATTCACCTTACCTTTTTTTAAGTAAACAGATTGAAAATACAAATTTTTCTGATTAGATTTTATATTAAAATTATTGGATGTTGTTAGCTAATACAAACTATTTCAAATAAATAAAATATGATTTTTAATTTGTTAATTAAATAACGTTCAATTTAGAGATCAATATCAGCACTATCGGTAAACAATATTACATAATTCATCAAACTTATATTTTCAACATATATCTATTCAATTGATTAAGATCATGAGTCAAATGAAGCTAGACAACTATAGAATACCTCGAAGCACTGGACAGCCGTTCTGTTCTATTGTTTAACCCCTCAATGGCAGTGCGCAACCGTGATCCCGCCTAGAGAGATTCGAACCCAAGACCTATCGGTTTTGATTTATACATCTTTTCAAAATTAAACAATTAACTGTGATGTTCCAAAATAACCCCTTATCACAAAAGAATTCAACTTGTGATTTCTTCGTGAATAAGGAATAGATATTTATTGAAGTATTTATTCAATTCATTAAACCAATTAAACAGAACGTAGACAGGATGATCTAAACGTTTATCCAAATAAAACTTATTATATAACTTCAATTAAAAAAAACATTTAAAATAATAATCCAAAAAAGTTACTGACGATTTCAATATTGACTAGTTTGCATTAATACACTTTCTAAACAGACATAAATAAAAAACTATTTAATGGATATTTTATGTTTAAAGATAGAGAAAAAAAACTATAAATTGAATAACTGCAATCACCAACAATAACAGAAATAACAATAAAAAATATTCAAATGTAAAATCGTAAATTACAAATAAAAATTAGATAACGAAAGAGAAAAAAATTAGAGGTAAGACAAAAATAAAAAAACTAAGAAAGATAGACATAAAAATATTAAACAACAAAAAAATAATCATTGAATAAAAAGCAAAAAAAAAACAAGAATAGTCAGAAAGTAAAAAACAATAACAAACTTAAGAAAACGGCTAAAAATGAAAAAAGCAAAAGAAGAAAAAACAAAGCAAAATAATACATGAAAAAAAACAGAAAGAATAAGATAGACAGCAAAATCAAGTTTAGAAATGACATAATGTGATAATTCATAAATCGACTGTGAATATAAGCATTTGTGATGGAATGACTGAGTTGAGTTTGCATGTGTGAAGTAGAGTGTGAGTAAGTGAGTGTGTCTCAGTGTAGGCGGACAAGGAACACAGATGCTATTCGACAGACACATGGATTCTTCAGAGGATGTGTGGAGTCGATTCGAGTGAAGAAGAGGCAGATGATTGGCTAGACTAGAACATGTCAGGTGAGGAGTGTGCCGAATAATTCACTTCGGACATGTGATCCAAACAACCACTAGAACACAATCAATGTCTCACCAAACATAATGCATAGGTCTCACACACTTGCAATCCAGCACTAATTACTGCACACTACACACTCGCATCTAATCCACTCTGTGGTCTTATTCCATTTCAGGTACCAGGTGGAAGACCAGCACTGACAGAGTTAGTCGGAGCTGAAGAGCATGTGAGTGGAGACGCTTCGACAGGCACCGATTCTGTCGATCACATGGATCGTGTCGATTCCAGAGGGGAGAATCTTCTCGGAATACAGGTAATCCCATTCAAACACTTGTCTCCTTGATTGCAGTGTTGTGGAATGTTGATAAATCTGCCGATCTGTAGTGTGTCTGTGTCTGTGACTCTCTCTCACTCTCTGTGTAACTGTGTGTGAGAGTTGTCACGTAAGTACTTGTACCGTGTATCTCCTATCAAATCACTTGAATTTGGAGTCAAGGATCCATTGAGTAGGTGATGAGGTCGCAACGTCTCACATCGACACCGTGATCGTAGTCAGCCTCGTTGTGTGTGCATGTGTTTTGTCAGTACTTGTGAGTCTGTCTGACGTGTGCTGAGCAACATTGGTTCGACGAAGCATTGTCGACCATCCGTTGGAGTCACGTGGCATTGTCCAACCCATCCAATGTGTGCTCGCCTATTCATATGCATGCATACATTGCGAGGTGGCATGTGCCACTCATATGTGATGTTTGAACTCGTCGTTCAGTATTCATGATTCTCATTGCAGTCGGCCATCAGGGATATAGGCGGTGAGTGATAGATCGACTGTGAATATAAGCATTTGTGATGGAATGACTGAGTTGAGTTTGCATGTGTGAAGTAGAGTGTGAGTAAGTGAGTGTGTCTCAGTGTAGGCGGACAAGGAACACAGATGCTATTCGACAGACACATGGGTTCTTCAGAGGATGTGTGGAGTCGATTCGAGTGAAGAAGAGGCAGATGATTGGCTAGACTAGAACATGTCAGGTGAGGAGTGTGCCGAATAATTCACTTCGGACATGTGATCCAAACAACCACTAGAACACAATCAATGTCTCACCAAACATAATGCATAGGTCTCACACACTTGCAATCCAGCACTAATTACTGCACACTACACACTCGCATCTAATCCACTCTGTGGTCTTATTCCATTTCAGGTACCAGGTGGAAGACCAGCACTGACAGAGTTAGTCGGAGCTGAAGAGCATGTGAGTGGAGACGCTTCGACAGGCACCGATTCTGTCGATCACATGGATCGTGTCGATTCCAGAGGGGAGAATCTTCTCGGAATACAGGTAATCCCATTCAAACACTTGTCTCCTTGATTGCAGTGTTGTGGAATGTTGATAAATCTGCCGATCTGTAGTGTGTCTGTGTCTGTGACTCTCTCTCACTCTCTGTGTAACTGTGTGTGAGAGTTGTCACGTAAGTACTTGTACCGTGTATCTCCTATCAAATCACTTGAATTTGGAGTCAAGGATCCATTGAGTAGGTGATGAGGTCGCAACGTCTCACATCGACACCGTGATCGTAGTCAGCCTCGTTGTGTGTGCATGTGTTTTGTCAGTACTTGTGAGTCTGTCTGACGTGTGCTGAGCAACATTGGTTCGACGAAGCATTGTCGACCATCCGTTGGAGTCACGTGGCATTGTCCAACCCATCCAATGTGTGCTCGCCTATTCATATGCATGCATACATTGCGAGGTGGCATGTGCCACTCATATGTGATGTTTGAACTCGTCGTTCAGTATTCATGATTCTCATTGCAGTCGGCCATCAGGGATATAGGCGGTGAGTGATAGATCGACTGTGAATATAAGCATTTGTGATGGAATGACTGAGTTGAGTTTGCATGTGTGAAGTAGAGTGTGAGTAAGTGAGTGTGTCTCAGTGTAGGCGGACAAGGAACACAGATGCTATTCGACAGACACATGGGTTCTTCAGAGGATGTGTGGAGTCGATTCGAGTGAAGAAGAGGCAGATGATTGGCTAGACTAGAACATGTCAGGTGAGGAGTGTGCCGAATAATTCACTTCGGACATGTGATCCAAACAACCACTAGAACACAATCAATGTCTCACCAAACATAATGCATAGGTCTCACACACTTGCAATCCAGCACTAATTACTGCACACTACACACTCGCATCTAATCCACTCTGTGGTCTTATTCCATTTCAGGTACCAGGTGGAAGACCAGCACTGACAGAGTTAGTCGGAGCTGAAGAGCATGTGAGTGGAGACGCTTCGACAGGCACCGATTCTGTCGATCACATGGATCGTGTCGATTCCAGAGGGGAGAATCTTCTCGGAATACAGGTAATCCCATTCAAACACTTGTCTCCTTGATTGCAGTGTTGTGGAATGTTGATAAATCTGCCGATCTGTAGTGTGTCTGTGTCTGTGACTCTCTCTCACTCTCTGTGTAACTGTGTGTGAGAGTTGTCACGTAAGTACTTGTACCGTGTATCTCCTATCAAATCACTTGAATTTGGAGTCAAGGATCCATTGAGTAGGTGATGAGGTCGCAACGTCTCACATCGACACCGTGATCGTAGTCAGCCTCGTTGTGTGTGCATGTGTTTTGTCAGTACTTGTGAGTCTGTCTGACGTGTGCTGAGCAACATTGGTTCGACGAAGCATTGTCGACCATCCGTTGGAGTCACGTGGCATTGTCCAACCCATCCAATGTGTGCTCGCCTATTCATATGCATGCATACATTGCGAGGTGGCATGTGCCACTCATATGTGATGTTTGAACTCGTCGTTCAGTATTCATGATTCTCATTGCAGTCGGCCATCAGGGATATAGGCGGTGAGTGATAGATCGACTGTGAATATAAGCATTTGTGATGGAATGACTGAGTTGAGTTTGCATGTGTGAAGTAGAGTGTGAGTAAGTGAGTGTGTCTCAGTGTAGGCGGACAAGGAACACAGATGCTATTCGACAGACACATGGGTTCTTCAGAGGATGTGTGGAGTCGATTCGAGTGAAGAAGAGGCAGATGATTGGCTAGACTAGAACATGTCAGGTGAGGAGTGTGCCGAATAATTCACTTCGGACATGTGATCCAAACAACCACTAGAACACAATCAATGTCTCACCAAACATAATGCATAGGTCTCACACACTTGCAATCCAGCACTAATTACTGCACACTACACACTCGCATCTAATCCACTCTGTGGTCTTATTCCATTTCAGGTACCAGGTGGAAGACCAGCACTGACAGAGTTAGTCGGAGCTGAAGAGCATGTGAGTGGAGACGCTTCGACAGGCACCGATTCTGTCGATCACATGGATCGTGTCGATTCCAGAGGGGAGAATCTTCTCGGAATACAGGTAATCCCATTCAAACACTTGTCTCCTTGATTGCAGTGTTGTGGAATGTTGATAAATCTGCCGATCTGTAGTGTGTCTGTGTCTGTGACTCTCTCTCACTCTCTGTGTAACTGTGTGTGAGAGTTGTCACGTAAGTACTTGTACCGTGTATCTCCTATCAAATCACTTGAATTTGGAGTCAAGGATCCATTGAGTAGGTGATGAGGTCGCAACTGTCTCACATCGACACCGTGATCGTAGTCAGCCTCGTTGTGTGTGCATGTGTTTTGTCAGTACTTGTGAGTCTGTCTGACGTGTGCTGAGCAACATTGGTTCGACGAAGCATTGTCGACCATCCGTTGGAGTCACGTGGCATTGTCCAACCCATCCAATGTGTGCTCGCCTATTCATATGCATGCATACATTGCGAGGTGGCATGTGCCACTCATATGTGATGTTTGAACTCGTCGTTCAGTATTCATGATTCTCATTGCAGTCGGCCATCAGGGATATAGGCGGTGAGTGATAGATCGACTGTGAATATAAGCATTTGTGATGGAATGACTGAGTTGAGTTTGCATGTGTGAAGTAGAGTGTGAGTAAGTGAGTGTGTCTCAGTGTAGGCGGACAAGGAACACAGATGCTATTCGACAGACACATGGGTTCTTCAGAGGATGTGTGGAGTCGATTCGAGTGAAGAAGAGGCAGATGATTGGCTAGACTAGAACATGTCAGGTGAGGAGTGTGCCGAATAATTCACTTCGGACATGTGATCCAAACAACCACTAGAACACAATCAATGTCTCACCAAACATAATGCATAGGTCTCACACACTTGCAATCCAGCACTAATTACTGCACACTACACACTCGCATCTAATCCACTCTGTGGTCTTATTCCATTTCAGGTACCAGGTGGAAGACCAGCACTGACAGAGTTAGTCGGAGCTGAAGAGCATGTGAGTGGAGACGCTTCGACAGGCACCGATTCTGTCGATCACATGGATCGTGTCGATTCCAGAGGGGAGAATCTTCTCGGAATACAGGTAATCCCATTCAAACACTTGTCTCCTTGATTGCAGTGTTGTGGAATGTTGATAAATCTGCCGATCTGTAGTGTGTCTGTGTCTGTGACTCTCTCTCACTCTCTGTGTAACTGTGTGTGAGAGTTGTCACGTAAGTACTTGTACCGTGTATCTCCTATCAAATCACTTGAATTTGGAGTCAAGGATCCATTGAGTAGGTGATGAGGTCGCAACGTCTCACATCGACACCGTGATCGTAGTCAGCCTCGTTGTGTGTGCATGTGTTTTGTCAGTACTTGTGAGTCTGTCTGACGTGTGCTGAGCAACATTGGTTCGACGAAGCATTGTCGACCATCCGTTGGAGTCACGTGGCATTGTCCAACCCATCCAATGTGTGCTCGCCTATTCATATGCATGCATACATTGCGAGGTGGCATGTGCCACTCATATGTGATGTTTGAACTCGTCGTTCAGTATTCATGATTCTCATTGCAGTCGGCCATCAGGGATATAGGCGGTGAGTGATAGATCGACTGTGAATATAAGCATTTGTGATGGAATGACTGAGTTGAGTTTGCATGTGTGAAGTAGAGTGTGAGTAAGTGAGTGTGTCTCAGTGTAGGCGGACAAGGAACACAGATGCTATTCGACAGACACATGGATTCTTCAGAGGATGTGTGGAGTCGATTCGAGTGAAGAAGAGGCAGATGATTGGCTAGACTAGAACATGTCAGGTGAGGAGTGTGCCGAATAATTCACTTCGGACATGTGATCCAAACAACCACTAGAACACAATCAATGTCTCACCAAACATAATGCATAGGTCTCACACACTTGCAATCCAGCACAAATTACTGAATACTACACACTCACAACTAATCCACTCAGCGGTATTATTTCATTTCAGGTACCAGGTTGAAGACCCGCATTGGCAAGTTACGTGACGTGTTGCAGATGTGACTGGGATTCCGACCGAGGTTGTCGACAGGAAATATGTGTGCTGACTGAATGATGCATTGTGACTGAAGACAACTTCGATCAGCTCACTGATTGACAACTTGTGTGAATGTGTGATATGAGATGCTGTGAGAATCTGTGACGTGAGAATGAACACACCACAAACTGTGATTGTATGTGTTTTCAGTGGATCCAGTGAGTAGAGGTGGGATGTGGTTGGATGACTGTCGACCATAACATGTCAGGTGAGGATTGGTCTGACCAAGTCACCATTCACACGTCATCCACACAACCACTACAAAACAGAAATCATGACAACACCAATATAATGCATAGGTATCACACAGTCACAATCTAGCACCAAACACTGCACACTACACACTCGAGCCTAATCCACTCTATGATCTCTTTCACTTTCAGGTGTCAAGTGAACAACCAGCATCGACGAGTGAACGTCAGACCGGAGACAATGAGACCAGAGACACTTCAGGAGACTCTGACTCCATCAGTCACATGGGTGTTGGTGTTGGTGTCGGTGCCAGTGAGGAGAATCTTCTCGACACACAGGTAATCTCGTTCACACACTTGTTTCCTTGATTGACGTGTTGTGGAATGTTGATGAGATCGGTGACTAGTCGTATGTGTAGGCATTCCACACCACATCGGATCACTTCACACCACCGTTACTTGTCGATCGAGTGTTGGATGTGGTCGAGATGTGTCAACTGGACAATGTGCCTGTGTGCGTGTTGTTGTGTGTTTGTGAATGTGTCTGAGGTGTAGTGACCAACACTAGTGGATAACGCATCGACGATGACGCATGTAAGTGACGAGGTGTTGTCCAATGCATGCAATGTGTGCTCACCGAATCATATGCATGTGGAGATCCACAGTCAGTATATGTGAGTGACAATGTGTGAGTGACTTGATGCAGATGTGACTGGGATTCCGACCAAGGTTGTCGACAGCAAATATGTGTGCTGACTGAATGGTGCATTGTGACTGAAGACAACTTCGATCAGCTCACTGATTGACAAGTTGTGTGAATGTGTGATATGAGATGCTGTGAGAATCTGTGACGTGAGAATGAACACACCACAAACTGTGATTGTATGTGTTTTCAGTGGATCCAGTGAGTAGAGGTGGGATGTGGTTGGATGACTGTCGACCATAACATGTCAGGTGAGGATTGGTCTGACCAAGTCACCATTCACACGTCATCCACACAACCACTACAAAACAGAAATCATGACAACACCAATATAATGCATAGGTATCACACAGTCACAATCTAGCACCAAACACTGCACACTACACACTCGAGCCTAATCCACTCTATGATCTCTTTCACTTTCAGGTGTCAAGTGAACAACCAGCATCGACGAGTGAACGTCAGACCGGAGACAATGAGACCAGAGACACTTCAGGAGACTCTGACTCCATCAGTCACATGGGTGTTGGTGTTGGTGTCGGTGCCAGTGAGGAGAATCTTCTCGACACACAGGTAATCTCGTTCACACACTTGTTTCCTTGATTGACGTGTTGTGGAATGTTGATGAGATCGGTGACTAGTCGTATGTGTAGGCATTCCACACCACATCGGATCACTTCACACCACCGTTACTTGTCGATCGAGTGTTGGATGTGGTCGAGATGTGTCAACTGGACAATGTGCCTGTGTGCGTGTTGTTGTGTGTTTGTGAATGTGTCTGAGGTGTAGTGACCAACACTAGTGGATAACGCATCGACGATGACGCATGTAAGTGACGAGGTGTTGTCCAATGCATGCAATGTGTGCTCACCGAATCATATGCATGTGGAGATCCACAGTCAGTATATGTGAGTGACAATGTGTGAGTGACTTGATTGCAGATGTGACTGGGATTCCGACCGAGGTTGTCGACAGCAAATATGTGTGCTGACTGAATGCATGCATTGTGACTGAAGACAACTTCGATCAGCTCACTGATTGACAAGTTGTGTGAATGTGTGATATGAGATGCTGTGAGAATCTGTGACGTGAGAATGAACACACCACAAACTGTGATTGTATGTGTTTTCAGTGGATCCAGTGAGTAGAGGTGGGATGTGGTTGGATGACTGTCGACCATAACATGTCAGGTGAGGATTGGTCTGACCAAGTCACCATTCACACGTCATCCACACAACCACTACAAAACAGAAATCATGACAACACCAATATAATGCATAGGTATCACACAGTCACAATCTAGCACCAAACACTGCACACTACACACTCGAGCCTAATCCACTCTATGATCTCTTTCACTTTCAGGTGTCAAGTGAACAACCAGCATCGACGAGTGAACGTCAGACCGGAGACAATGAGACCAGAGACACTTCAGGAGACTCTGACTCCATCAGTCACATGGGTGTTGGTGTTGGTGTCGGTGCCAGTGAGGAGAATCTTCTCGACACACAGGTAATCTCGTTCACACACTTGTTTCCTTGATTGACGTGTTGTGGAATGTTGATGAGATCGGTGACTAGTCGTATGTGTAGGCATTCCACACCACATCGGATCACTTCACACCACCGTTACTTGTCGATCGAGTGTTGGATGTGGTCGAGATGTGTCAACTGGACAATGTGCCTGTGTGCGTGTTGTTGTGTGTTTGTGAATGTGTCTGAGGTGTAGTGACCAACACTAGTGGATAACGCATCGACGATGACGCATGTAAGTGACGAGGTGTTGTCCAATGCATGCAATGTGTGCTCACCGAATCATATGCATGTGGAGATCCACAGTCAGTATATGTGAGTGACAATGTGTGAGTGACTTGATGCAGATGTGACTGGGATTCCGACCGAGGTTGTCGACAGCAAATATGTGTGCTGACTGAATGATGCATTGTGACTGAAGACAACTTCGATCAGCTCACTGATTGACAAGTTGTGTGAATGTGTGATATGAGATGCTGTGAGAATCTGTGACGTGAGAATGAACACACCACAAACTGTGATTGTATGTGTTTTCAGTGGATCCAGTGAGTAGAGGTGGGATGTGGTTGGATGACTGTCGACCATAACATGTCAGGTGAGGATTGGTCTGACCAAGTCACCATTCACACGTCATCCACACAACCACTACAAAACAGAAATCATGACAACACCAATATAATGCATAGGTATCACACAGTCACAATCTAGCACCAAACACTGCACACTACACACTCGAGCCTAATCCACTCTATGATCTCTTTCACTTTCAGGTGTCAAGTGAACAACCAGCATCGACGAGTGAACGTCAGACCGGAGACAATGAGACCAGAGACACTTCAGGAGACTCTGACTCCATCAGTCACATGGGTGTTGGTGTTGGTGTCGGTGCCAGTGAGGAGAATCTTCTCGACACACAGGTAATCTCGTTCACACACTTGTTTCCTTGATTGACGTGTTGTGGAATGTTGATGAGATCGGTGACTAGTCGTATGTGTAGGCATTCCACACCACATCGGATCACTTCACACCACCGTTACTTGTCGATCGAGTGTTGGATGTGGTCGAGATGTGTCAACTGGACAATGTGCCTGTGTGCGTGTTGTTGTGTGTTTGTGAATGTGTCTGAGGTGTAGTGACCAACACTAGTGGATAACGCATCGACGATGACGCATGTAAGTGACGAGGTGTTGTCCAATGCATGCAATGTGTGCTCACCGAATCATATGCATGTGGAGATCCACAGTCAGTATATGTGAGTGACAATGTGTGAGTGACGTGTTGCAGATGTGACTGGGATTCCGACCGAGGTTGTCGACAGCAAATATGTGTGCTGACTGAATGATGCATTGTGACTGAAGACAACTTCGATCAGCTCACTGATTGACAAGTTGTGTGAATGTGTGATATGAGATGCTGTGAGAATCTGTGACGTGAGAATGAACACACCACAAACTGTGATTGTATGTGTTTTCAGTGGATCCAGTGAGTAGAGGTGGGATGTGGTTGGATGACTGTCGACCATAACATGTCAGGTGAGGATTGGTCTGACCAAGTCACCATTCACACGTCATCCACACAACCACTACAAAACAGAAATCATGACAACACCAATATAATGCATAGGTATCACACAGTCACAATCTAGCACCAAACACTGCACACTACACACTCGAGCCTAATCCACTCTATGATCTCTTTCACTTTCAGGTGTCAAGTGAACAACCAGCATCGACGAGTGAACGTCAGACCGGAGACAATGAGACCAGAGACACTTCAGGAGACTCTGACTCCATCAGTCACATGGGTGTTGGTGTTGGTGTCGGTGCCAGTGAGGAGAATCTTCTCGACACACAGGTAATCTCGTTCACACACTTGTTTCCTTGATTGACGTGTTGTGGAATGTTGATGAGATCGGTGACTAGTCGTATGTGTAGGCATTCCACACCACATCGGATCACTTCACACCACCGTTACTTGTCGATCGAGTGTTGGATGTGGTCGAGATGTGTCAACTGGACAATGTGCCTGTGTGCGTGTTGTTGTGTGTTTGTGAATGTGTCTGAGGTGTAGTGACCAACACTAGTGGATAACGCATCGACGATGACGCATGTAAGTGACGAGGTGTTGTCCAATGCATGCAATGTGTGCTCACCGAATCATATGCATGTGGAGATCCACAGTCAGTATATGTGAGTGACAATGTGTGAGTGACTTGATGCAGATGTGACTGGGATTCCGACCGAGGTTGTCGACAGCAAATATGTGTGCTGACTGAATGATGCATTGTGACTGAAGACAACTTCGATCAGCTCACTGATTGACAAGTTGTGTGAATGTGTGATATGAGATGCTGTGAGAATCTGTGACGTGAGAATGAACACACCACAAACTGTGATTGTATGTGTTTTCAGTGGATCCAGTGAGTAGAGGTGGGATGTGGTTGGATGACTGTCGACCATAACATGTCAGGTGAGGATTGGTCTGACCAAGTCACCATTCACACGTCATCCACACAACCACTACAAAACAGAAATCATGACAACACCAATATAATGCATAGGTATCACACAGTCACAATCTAGCACCAAACACTGCACACTACACACTCGAGCCTAATCCACTCTATGATCTCTTTCACTTTCAGGTGTCAAGTGAACAACCAGCATCGACGAGTGAACGTCAGACCGGAGACAATGAGACCAGAGACACTTCAGGAGACTCTGACTCCATCAGTCACATGGGTGTTGGTGTTGGTGTCGGTGCCAGTGAGGAGAATCTTCTCGACACACAGGTAATCTCGTTCACACACTTGTTTCCTTGATTGACGTGTTGTGGAATGTTGATGAGATCGGTGACTAGTCGTATGTGTAGGCATTCCACACCACATCGGATCACTTCACACCACCGTTACTTGTCGATCGAGTGTTGGATGTGGTCGAGATGTGTCAACTGGACAATGTGCCTGTGTGCGTGTTGTTGTGTGTTTGTGAATGTGTCTGAGGTGTAGTGACCAACACTAGTGGATAACGCATCGACGATGACGCATGTAAGTGACGAGGTGTTGTCCAATGCATGCAATGTGTGCTCACCGAATCATATGCATGTGGAGATCCACAGTCAGTATATGTGAGTGACAATGTGTGAGTGACGTGTTGCAGATGTGACTGGGATTCCGACCGAGGTTGTCGACAGCAAATATGTGTGCTGACTGAATGATGCATTGTGACTGAAGACAACTTCGATCAGCTCACTGATTGACAAGTTGTGTGAATGTGTGATATGAGATGCTGTGAGAATCTGTGACGTGAGAATGAACACACCACAAACTGTGATTGTATGTGTTTTCAGTGGATCCAGTGAGTAGAGGTGGGATGTGGTTGGATGACTGTCGACCATAACATGTCAGGTGAGGATTGGTCTGACCAAGTCACCATTCACACGTCATCCACACAACCACTACAAAACAGAAATCATGACAACACCAATATAATGCATAGGTATCACACAGTCACAATCTAGCACCAAACACTGCACACTACACACTCGAGCCTAATCCACTCTATGATCTCTTTCACTTTCAGGTGTCAAGTGAACAACCAGCATCGACGAGTGAACGTCAGACCGGAGACAATGAGACCAGAGACACTTCAGGAGACTCTGACTCCATCAGTCACATGGGTGTTGGTGTTGGTGTCGGTGCCAGTGAGGAGAATCTTCTCGACACACAGGTAATCTCGTTCACACACTTGTTTCCTTGATTGACGTGTTGTGGAATGTTGATGAGATCGGTGACTAGTCGTATGTGTAGGCATTCCACACCACATCGGATCACTTCACACCACCGTTACTTGTCGATCGAGTGTTGGATGTGGTCGAGATGTGTCAACTGGACAATGTGCCTGTGTGCGTGTTGTTGTGTGTTTGTGAATGTGTCTGAGGTGTAGTGACCAACACTAGTGGATAACGCATCGACGATGACGCATGTAAGTGACGAGGTGTTGTCCAATGCATGCAATGTGTGCTCACCGAATCATATGCATGTGGAGATCCACAGTCAGTATATGTGAGTGACAATGTGTGAGTGACGTGATGCAGATGTGACTGGGATTCCGACCGAGGTTGTCGACAGCAAATATGTGTGCTGACTGAATGGTGCATTGTGACTGAAGACAACTTCGATCAGCTCACTGATTGACAAGTTGTGTGAATGTGTGATATGAGATGCTGTGAGAATCTGTGACGTGAGAATGAACACACCACAAACTGTGATTGTATGTGTTTTCAGTGGATCCAGTGAGTAGAGGTGGGATGTGGTTGGATGACTGTCGACCATAACATGTCAGGTGAGGATTGGTCTGACCAAGTCACCATTCACACGTCATCCACACAACCACTACAAAACAGAAATCATGACAACACCAATATAATGCATAGGTATCACACAGTCACAATCTAGCACCAAACACTGCACACTACACACTCGAGCCTAATCCACTCTATGATCTCTTTCACTTTCAGGTGTCAAGTGAACAACCAGCATCGACGAGTGAACGTCAGACCGGAGACAATGAGACCAGAGACACTTCAGGAGACTCTGACTCCATCAGTCACATGGGTGTTGGTGTTGGTGTCGGTGCCAGTGAGGAGAATCTTCTCGACACACAGGTAATCTCGTTCACACACTTGTTTCCTTGATTGACGTGTTGTGGAATGTTGATGAGATCGGTGACTAGTCGTATGTGTAGGCATTCCACACCACATCGGATCACTTCACACCACCGTTACTTGTCGATCGAGTGTTGGATGTGGTCGAGATGTGTCAACTGGACAATGTGCCTGTGTGCGTGTTGTTGTGTGTTTGTGAATGTGTCTGAGGTGTAGTGACCAACACTAGTGGATAACGCATCGACGATGACGCATGTAAGTGACGAGGTGTTGTCCAATGCATGCAATGTGTGCTCACCGAATCATATGCATGTGGAGATCCACAGTCAGTATATGTGAGTGACAATGTGTGAGTGACTTGTTGCAGATGTGACTGGGATTCCGACCGAGGTTGTCGACAGCAAATATGTGTGCTGACTGAATGGTGCATTGTGACTGAAGACAACTTCGATCAGCTCACTGATTGACAAGTTGTGTGAATGTGTGATATGAGATGCTGTGAGAATCTGTGACGTGAGAATGAACACACCACAAACTGTGATTGTATGTGTTTTCAGTGGATCCAGTGAGTAGAGGTGGGATGTGGTTGGATGACTGTCGACCATAACATGTCAGGTGAGGATTGGTCTGACCAAGTCACCATTCACACGTCATCCACACAACCACTACAAAACAGAAATCATGACAACACCAATATAATGCATAGGTATCACACAGTCACAATCTAGCACCAAACACTGCACACTACACACTCGAGCCTAATCCACTCTATGATCTCTTTCACTTTCAGGTGTCAAGTGAACAACCAGCATCGACGAGTGAACGTCAGACCGGAGACAATGAGACCAGAGACACTTCAGGAGACTCTGACTCCATCAGTCACATGGGTGTTGGTGTTGGTGTCGGTGCCAGTGAGGAGAATCTTCTCGACACACAGGTAATCTCGTTCACACACTTGTTTCCTTGATTGACGTGTTGTGGAATGTTGATGAGATCGGTGACTAGTCGTATGTGTAGGCATTCCACACCACATCGGATCACTTCACACCACCGTTACTTGTCGATCGAGTGTTGGATGTGGTCGAGATGTGTCAACTGGACAATGTGCCTGTGTGCGTGTTGTTGTGTGTTTGTGAATGTGTCTGAGGTGTAGTGACCAACACTAGTGGATAACGCATCGACGATGACGCATGTAAGTGACGAGGTGTTGTCCAATGCATGCAATGTGTGCTCACCGAATCATATGCATGTGGAGATCCACAGTCAGTATATGTGAGTGACAATGTGTGAGTGACGTGTTGCAGATGTGACTGGGATTCCGACCGAGGTTGTCGACAGCAAATATGTGTGCTGACTGAATGATGCATTGTGACTGAAGACAACTTCGATCAGCTCACTGATTGACAAGTTGTGTGAATGTGTGATATGAGATGCTGTGAGAATCTGTGACGTGAGAATGAACACACCACAAACTGTGATTGTATGTGTTTTCAGTGGATCCAGTGAGTAGAGGTGGGATGTGGTTGGATGACTGTCGACCATAACATGTCAGGTGAGGATTGGTCTGACCAAGTCACCATTCACACGTCATCCACACAACCACTACAAAACAGAAATCATGACAACACCAATATAATGCATAGGTATCACACAGTCACAATCTAGCACCAAACACTGCACACTACACACTCGAGCCTAATCCACTCTATGATCTCTTTCACTTTCAGGTGTCAAGTGAACAACCAGCATCGACGAGTGAACGTCAGACCGGAGACAATGAGACCAGAGACACTTCAGGAGACTCTGACTCCATCAGTCACATGGGTGTTGGTGTTGGTGTCGGTGCCAGTGAGGAGAATCTTCTCGACACACAGGTAATCTCGTTCACACACTTGTTTCCTTGATTGACGTGTTGTGGAATGTTGATGAGATCGGTGACTAGTCGTATGTGTAGGCATTCCACACCACATCGGATCACTTCACACCACCGTTACTTGTCGATCGAGTGTTGGATGTGGTCGAGATGTGTCAACTGGACAATGTGCCTGTGTGCGTGTTGTTGTGTGTTTGTGAATGTGTCTGAGGTGTAGTGACCAACACTAGTGGATAACGCATCGACGATGACGCATGTAAGTGACGAGGTGTTGTCCAATGCATGCAATGTGTGCTCACCGAATCATATGCATGTGGAGATCCACAGTCAGTATATGTGAGTGACAATGTGTGAGTGACGTGATGCAGATGTGACTGGGATTCCGACCGAGGTTGTCGACAGCAAATATGTGTGCTGACTGAATGATGCATTGTGACTGAAGACAACTTCGATCAGCTCACTGATTGACAAGTTGTGTGAATGTGTGATATGAGATGCTGTGAGAATCTGTGACGTGAGAATGAACACACCACAAACTGTGATTGTATGTGTTTTCAGTGGATCCAGTGAGTAGAGGTGGGATGTGGTTGGATGACTGTCGACCATAACATGTCAGGTGAGGATTGGTCTGACCAAGTCACCATTCACACGTCATCCACACAACCACTACAAAACAGAAATCATGACAACACCAATATAATGCATAGGTATCACACAGTCACAATCTAGCACCAAACACTGCACACTACACACTCGAGCCTAATCCACTCTATGATCTCTTTCACTTTCAGGTGTCAAGTGAACAACCAGCATCGACGAGTGAACGTCAGACCGGAGACAATGAGACCAGAGACACTTCAGGAGACTCTGACTCCATCAGTCACATGGGTGTTGGTGTTGGTGTCGGTGCCAGTGAGGAGAATCTTCTCGACACACAGGTAATCTCGTTCACACACTTGTTTCCTTGATTGACGTGTTGTGGAATGTTGATGAGATCGGTGACTAGTCGTATGTGTAGGCATTCCACACCACATCGGATCACTTCACACCACCGTTACTTGTCGATCGAGTGTTGGATGTGGTCGAGATGTGTCAACTGGACAATGTGCCTGTGTGCGTGTTGTTGTGTGTTTGTGAATGTGTCTGAGGTGTAGTGACCAACACTAGTGGATAACGCATCGACGATGACGCATGTAAGTGACGAGGTGTTGTCCAATGCATGCAATGTGTGCTCACCGAATCATATGCATGTGGAGATCCACAGTCAGTATATGTGAGTGACAATGTGTGAGTGACTTGATGCAGATGTGACTGGGATTCCGACCGAGGTTGTCGACAGCAAATATGTGTGCTGACTGAATGGTGCATTGTGACTGAAGACAACTTCGATCAGCTCACTGATTGACAAGTTGTGTGAATGTGTGATATGAGATGCTGTGAGAATCTGTGACGTGAGAATGAACACACCACAAACTGTGATTGTATGTGTTTTCAGTGGATCCAGTGAGTAGAGGTGGGATGTGGTTGGATGACTGTCGACCATAACATGTCAGGTGAGGATTGGTCTGACCAAGTCACCATTCACACGTCATCCACACAACCACTACAAAACAGAAATCATGACAACACCAATATAATGCATAGGTATCACACAGTCACAATCTAGCACCAAACACTGCACACTACACACTCGAGCCTAATCCACTCTATGATCTCTTTCACTTTCAGGTGTCAAGTGAACAACCAGCATCGACGAGTGAACGTCAGACCGGAGACAATGAGACCAGAGACACTTCAGGAGACTCTGACTCCATCAGTCACATGGGTGTTGGTGTTGGTGTCGGTGCCAGTGAGGAGAATCTTCTCGACACACAGGTAATCTCGTTCACACACTTGTTTCCTTGATTGACGTGTTGTGGAATGTTGATGAGATCGGTGACTAGTCGTATGTGTAGGCATTCCACACCACATCGGATCACTTCACACCACCGTTACTTGTCGATCGAGTGTTGGATGTGGTCGAGATGTGTCAACTGGACAATGTGCCTGTGTGCGTGTTGTTGTGTGTTTGTGAATGTGTCTGAGGTGTAGTGACCAACACTAGTGGATAACGCATCGACGATGACGCATGTAAGTGACGAGGTGTTGTCCAATGCATGCAATGTGTGCTCACCGAATCATATGCATGTGGAGATCCACAGTCAGTATATGTGAGTGACAATGTGTGAGTGACTTGATGCAGATGTGACTGGGATTCCGACCGAGGTTGTCGACAGCAAATATGTGTGCTGACTGAATGGTGCATTGTGACTGAAGACAACTTCGATCAGCTCACTGATTGACAAGTTGTGTGAATGTGTGATATGAGATGCTGTGAGAATCTGTGACGTGAGAATGAACACACCACAAACTGTGATTGTATGTGTTTTCAGTGGATCCAGTGAGTAGAGGTGGGATGTGGTTGGATGACTGTCGACCATAACATGTCAGGTGAGGATTGGTCTGACCAAGTCACCATTCACACGTCATCCACACAACCACTACAAAACAGAAATCATGACAACACCAATATAATGCATAGGTATCACACAGTCACAATCTAGCACCAAACACTGCACACTACACACTCGAGCCTAATCCACTCTATGATCTCTTTCACTTTCAGGTGTCAAGTGAACAACCAGCATCGACGAGTGAACGTCAGACCGGAGACAATGAGACCAGAGACACTTCAGGAGACTCTGACTCCATCAGTCACATGGGTGTTGGTGTTGGTGTCGGTGCCAGTGAGGAGAATCTTCTCGACACACAGGTAATCTCGTTCACACACTTGTTTCCTTGATTGACGTGTTGTGGAATGTTGATGAGATCGGTGACTAGTCGTATGTGTAGGCATTCCACACCACATCGGATCACTTCACACCACCGTTACTTGTCGATCGAGTGTTGGATGTGGTCGAGATGTGTCAACTGGACAATGTGCCTGTGTGCGTGTTGTTGTGTGTTTGTGAATGTGTCTGAGGTGTAGTGACCAACACTAGTGGATAACGCATCGACGATGACGCATGTAAGTGACGAGGTGTTGTCCAATGCATGCAATGTGTGCTCACCGAATCATATGCATGTGGAGATCCACAGTCAGTATATGTGAGTGACAATGTGTGAGTGACGTGTTGCAGATGTGACTGGGATTCCGACCGAGGTTGTCGACAGCAAATATGTGTGCTGACTGAATGATGCATTGTGACTGAAGACAACTTCGATCAGCTCACTGATTGACAAGTTGTGTGAATGTGTGATATGAGATGCTGTGAGAATCTGTGACGTGAGAATGAACACACCACAAACTGTGATTGTATGTGTTTTCAGTGGATCCAGTGAGTAGAGGTGGGATGTGGTTGGATGACTGTCGACCATAACATGTCAGGTGAGGATTGGTCTGACCAAGTCACCATTCACACGTCATCCACACAACCACTACAAAACAGAAATCATGACAACACCAATATAATGCATAGGTATCACACAGTCACAATCTAGCACCAAACACTGCACACTACACACTCGAGCCTAATCCACTCTATGATCTCTTTCACTTTCAGGTGTCAAGTGAACAACCAGCATCGACGAGTGAACGTCAGACCGGAGACAATGAGACCAGAGACACTTCAGGAGACTCTGACTCCATCAGTCACATGGGTGTTGGTGTTGGTGTCGGTGCCAGTGAGGAGAATCTTCTCGACACACAGGTAATCTCGTTCACACACTTGTTTCCTTGATTGACGTGTTGTGGAATGTTGATGAGATCGGTGACTAGTCGTATGTGTAGGCATTCCACACCACATCGGATCACTTCACACCACCGTTACTTGTCGATCGAGTGTTGGATGTGGTCGAGATGTGTCAACTGGACAATGTGCCTGTGTGCGTGTTGTTGTGTGTTTGTGAATGTGTCTGAGGTGTAGTGACCAACACTAGTGGATAACGCATCGACGATGACGCATGTAAGTGACGAGGTGTTGTCCAATGCATGCAATGTGTGCTCACCGAATCATATGCATGTGGAGATCCACAGTCAGTATATGTGAGTGACAATGTGTGAGTGACTTGATGCAGATGTGACTGGGATTCCGACCGAGGTTGTCGACAGCAAATATGTGTGCTGACTGAATGGTGCATTGTGACTGAAGACAACTTCGATCAGCTCACTGATTGACAAGTTGTGTGAATGTGTGATATGAGATGCTGTGAGAATCTGTGACGTGAGAATGAACACACCACAAACTGTGATTGTATGTGTTTTCAGTGGATCCAGTGAGTAGAGGTGGGATGTGGTTGGATGACTGTCGACCATAACATGTCAGGTGAGGATTGGTCTGACCAAGTCACCATTCACACGTCATCCACACAACCACTACAAAACAGAAATCATGACAACACCAATATAATGCATAGGTATCACACAGTCACAATATAGCGCCAAATGCTTCACATTACCCGCTCAATTCTAATCCACTCTTAAATATTCGGATTAAGACAATAACTCTTTTGATGTTTATTTTTATGAATTTTTCACGCTATTCATTTTTCCTTTTTTTGAGTTTCCTCTCTCTCTCTCCTTTTGCATTCACGTTTATACTCGCTGACACTATCTCTCAGCGAATTCATTTCTCTTTCTTCTCACTGTTGGATTGAAGCCTACGAATTTTATAGGTCGAAGTCGAATATCCTGACCTCATTCCGGGTTAGTTTTTATGGAGTTTCCGCTTATGTGAGTTAAGAAACCTTGATTCAAACCAATTTTAATATATACTACATGATGCTGTATAAACAGATGGTGTATGAACCAATGACTTTTTACCGGCTACTATGCGACTGCATCTCGTGACGTTACTCCCCTTCATTGTGGATCAGGCGTTTAGTCAAGGCTCCGGGTGTGGCTCCCAAAGATAACCACGTATTTCGATTTCGTCACCCGGTCAGTATCACAACCCTCACACAAATCGAGTGATGAAGTGTGGCGCATATCTATATAGTGCATCCTTGTACCAATATTTATGTGTTTAAATAAATAAATGTAGGAGAGATGCCATAAATTCTTTCATTCTTATTAAAAAAAATAAATAAATGAGGTATTAATTATCAATTATTATTTGTGTAAATCATAGATGTTTGTCATTTTCTATAATTATATGAATGTATATTAGTAACCACTTTAATTTTTATTGAAAACAATGGAATAATATCATTCAAATAATTTTTATACACTAGAATGTAGTAAATAACAATTGATCATCATGTCAAAACATTTCGCCATAACGTAACTTCATCAATACTAAAAACTTCTAATTCAGACTTTTAGTCTGTAATTAAAGAAATATATGTTTACCAATTGAATTCATAAAAAGTCGACTATAGTTCACGTTCATTGATGTATTTTAGATTGATATGAAGCCAACTTCTTGATCATTTTTATCTGGTACCTTTTTTGCTTAATACAACTCTTCATAGATGTATAAACCAACGGATTTAATGAATCAGCCATCTGATGACTTGTACGTAGGACTGGTTAAACAGAAAACAGAAAAACCGTCTCATAATAGAAATGCGACGTATAAAACATTTGAAGAAGTTTCAGGAACCTATCGAATGAATAGAAGAGCTGATTATAGTTATACCATAAATGTAAGTATCTACTAAGTTCGCATTTCTACATTTGTCCTAGATAAGATTATTTGATTTGGACCTCATTTTGAATGTTACGATTGTATCAAACAATAAAATTTGGCATGTGAACGAGCCTTGATAATTCCCGGATGATTCTATGTAATTCAGTGCAAAACAATGAGTTCAGTGAGATGAAATTTTAACTGTTACTGAAAAAAATTAATTGGTTTTAAAAGTACTGAAACTTCTTAAGAGGAAGTTAAAACTCATTTTGTTTACAAATTTCTACTTGATAGATAGTAACAGTTATAATGACATCCACGTAAGCGCTGAGATCGTAGGCATATAACAAAAGTTTGTCTTTTTGAAAGGTCTCTGGAGAAAATTATAGGCTAAAACGGTAATAGAATATACCGAGGTGTATATTTTGAGTTTAATAATTCTCATCATTCGAGATTCATTTCCATCAGATGATCCAATCCGTTGACAAAAGAGTCACTATTCACAGTAGATAGTGTTGGTACTTAAAAGTAACATTAGATCGCTGAGAAAATTTGTACAAACATGGAATACGCGATTTGTTATTTGAGTTTCTTCGAACACCTTATTGGAAATTTTGATATAGATTTCATCTCATTATTTTTAGATAAAGGGACACTTAAAACTAACGATCATTAAACAGCTTATTGGCTCACGTTGAAAACTTCTATTCAGTGAACATCCATGATTGCATAATAGATGGAAGTCAGAATCATCAGCACCGAGAAAATACGAAACCTTTGAACAACTGACCTGAGATCCAAGTCCTCACAGTTTTAACCTTAGCCAAATTGTGATATCACCTGATTATCATTGAAGAACTGTCTTAATAGTCCAGAATAATGTGTAGATTTTAAAAAGTTTTGTACTAAAGCACGTATAAAAATCAGAGGTAAATTAGGTATAAAACGCTAATCAAACTATTCAAGACTGGAAGTTTCCTAATTGATAAATTTTAAAAAGATAAATATAGTCTCACAGTTGCATATACAGAATTAAAGATGTGTAGGTGAGATCATAATTTATGGATGACATTTGAGCGACGCTAAAAAGACCTTGAGAACGTCCACCTACATACTACGATTAAATGAGGGTTATAAACCAGTATGAGGAATTAGGATTAATATTCACAGTTGATAGTTAGGGTCAGGAACTGGATTTAGGGTTTTCATCACGAACTGACATCAGCTATAATGCCAAAACTCCATCTAGCCAAATAATTGAATCAAAATTCAAAACCTGTTATCGTGAATTTGATTGGTTCGTCCATAAATTATAGTTTCGCCGATGTGTTAGTAGTCGGAAAACACAAGTATGCTCATTAACGGTAGTTTGAACAACCTTTGAAACAGACATTTTTCTAAGTATTCTGCCTAACGTCTGCGATACACTTGCAATACAACGTCCAAAATCGTGTCCAATTCGATGCGAACAGGTGGACCGTTTATTTGTAAATTTTCAAATTACTTTTCAGTTGAACCTTTGATCAGATCTCTGACAAAGCTCATGAAACACTTCCGTTGAAACATCCATTTAATTGTGGATTCAAAAACACAAATATCTATTATAAACTTCAAGCGACGTGATTTCAAATTATTATTCCTCGGAGGAAGATTAACTTTATTCTCTAACATTATTGATAGACTTTTGTCTGTTAGTGAACAACTTATTCTGATATATCATAAGTGTTTATGGACAGTCATTAAATAGTTCTAATTGACTTATGTATCATTTCATTTGGTATTTATCAGCAAAATATGTTGATATTCATATTAAGACTCAATATTCGCTATGTTATTTGAACCATCTTATCCAGTACTATAGTGAAAGAAATTACCATTGACCTATTTGATCAACGATTAGACCTTTCATAAATACTTGAACATTTTATCAAGAAACATTCATTCTTTGCACAGTAATTAACAACTCTGTACCTTTTTCATACTCTAATATTTCAATATTATTGTTTCTTTAATTTTCTTTAGTCTTCATTCGAAGAAGCCATAATTCATATTGTAAGTTTTATTTATTGAAAAGAATTTATTACGAATTTTCGTTTCTTAATTTAGGGACAAAAAGGAGACATTGGACCACAGGTAACACATTATTTTAATACTTATATATAATTATAAAACATTTGATGGGAAAAAATTAACAAAAAACACTCAAAACTACAAATTTTTTTTTTCACAAGGGGTTTCATGGAGATTTTAGTAATTTTACAGTTGAATTCATGAATCAATTGAAGATAAACCACCATAGAAAACCTGGAAGAACTGAACGGTCATTTCATTCTAGTATGGGACTCCTAAGCAGTGCGCATCCACGACCCCGCCCCGCTAAATTCGAACCCAGGACCTATCAGTCTCGCACGCGAGAGCTTAACCTCTAGATCACTGAGCCGGTATCCAACGGTGTTAATGTCTAACTTCAACCGATCCAAGAAGTTGCGCCACCTCCCACCATTGATTTATGACCAGAGTTATCATAATAAACGTTGGTTATTTCTTCATTTTTTTTATTAAAAAAATATTTTCCTTCATTGTAATTTCAGGGTCCAGCTGGTCCAGTGGGTTCTATGGGTTATTGTCCAGAAACAATATGTCCACCAACTGATATGAGTTCATTGAAAGTAAGTTGTTATTTATCAGTGATAAATGATAATACTTGAAATATAGTAAAATAATTATAAACTATGCAAATAAATATTACGTCGTACAAGATTCATATTTACCTCAAAAAAGAAAAAAAGAAACAATTAACATAAATTGGCTAGTTAGTAATCAACATTTTAGGGCTTGGATAGATTATCGTAAAATTGAAATTTCCATCAGAATCATAATTTATTATTGAATCGGAAGTTTTATTGATTTTTCATAAATTTCATTGATAAAATCTGATCTCATTTCTTATAGAATAATGTAGAACAGTGATAATAAATTGCATTATTCACTCCTAAAGCAGACATATCGCACAGGCAGGAAAAGACTATCAGAGTAGCAGCAGTAGGTCTCAGCATACACAAAAAGAAAAGCAAGATTCTCCGATATAACACAACATGCACTAATCGAATCACACTTGACGGAGAAGATTTGGAAGATGTAAAAACATTCACATATCCAGGCAGCATCATTTATGAACTCGGTGGATCTGATGTAGATATGAAGGCGCGAATTGGCAAAGCGAGAGCAGTATATCTACAACTGAAGAACATCTGGAACTCAAAACATTTGTCAACCAACACTAAAGTCAGAATTTTCAATGCAAATGTCAAGACGGTTCTGATGTATGGGGCGGAAACCTGGAGAACTACGAAAGCAATCGTTCAGAAGACAAAAGTGTTTATTAAAAGTTGTTTACACGAAATACTTCAGATTCGTTGGTCAGATTCCAGTGAAGGAAGAAATCAGGAAGAAGCGCTGGAAGTGGATAGGACACACACATTGAGGAAAGCACCCAACTGTATCACAGGGCAAGCCCTCATCACTTGGAATCCCCAAGGTCAAAGGAGAAGAGGAAGATTGAAGAACACATCACGCTGATAAACAGAGACAGACATGAAAAGAATGAACGAAAATTGGATAAAACTAAAAATGAAGGACAGATTAGGCTGGAGAATGCTGGTCGGTGGCCTATGCTTCATTGGGAGTAACTGGCTTAAGTAAGTAAGTAAGGCAGACATTTATGTACGTAAAGGAAATAGGATAGATGTAAAAGGTCGAAAATAGAGATACGACATGTAAATAATTCACGAACGCTTTCAAGAACAATACACAGAACATTTTAAACAAAGATGATAGTGACCAGCTGTGGAATCGTGAACACGTGTTTCGTCCTATTTGGGACTCGTCAACTGGATATACCTGTTTGTGACTTGAGGCAATACCGACACAATACGCACAGGATGCACATATGCCAATAAGATACTGATTAATTGCAACCCTAAACATCAATGGCAAGATTCAAACCGTCTGATTTCGATAATATCTCAATTGAAATTGATCTATGACGAATACCACGTGAAAATAATTGAGACTATATTTTCTCAATATTCCACTTTGATTCAGTAAGCTTAAATTACAGCTTAAAACGTAATAAGTAAATTACATACTGTAACGATTAACCATAATAGTTGCTCAAGTACATTTATTTGAAAAGAATGAATTTACTACCCAATAATTAGTCACTACGATCTGAAACTTGCATCTTTCTATTTTCGCTTACAAACAAATTTGGATTAACACTATAGGGTGTTCAAGGTGAGACTGGATCAAGTGATTGGTGTAATAGATCATGTAAAACTATTGATGGATTTATTGGATTAAAAGGAATAAAAGTAAGTTCCAATAATTATTGATATCTTGATTGATTTACATCATCTTGAATTGACGAACAAATCAATAAGAATAATTAAATAGAAGATACAATTTACTCTCTATTAAATTTATTATCAGTCTATATGAAAATCAATATTTCAGTCTAAATTGATTAGATAACAGAAATCAATTTTGACAAAAACGACCTAAATGTGTGCAGAATTTATTTTCACTTCTTTTGTTTTGATATGTTAAACTATATACTGTTTTAAATAAGAAATTTCGTCTAAATTTGATCGAATAGTTTCACAGTACTTTGTTGCCGAGTTAATGTGTGACATTATATTTCCTTGAAAAAGTTTGGACCAGCTTGCCAGGTGAAACGTTGGATTCACTTCAAATTCTTTCGCTGTGATTTTACAAATACATTCTTCCTCTTTAATATATACTGTTTTATTACATTCTGAATTACTATTAAATTAATGTTTATCCAAAGCCATAATTGAAATAATTGAAAACGGATCCATACAAACTGATATAAAAGTGAGAAATAGGATTAAGTGAATAAATTATTAATTTAAAACAACATATATAAGCGAATAATATAGATCCTATTTCCCATTATGTAACATGGATACAAGCCTTTATTATTCGTATCACAACTATTACACATGTCATCACACCACTGATTTGTACTTTTTACTTATTATGTTTATCTATGTAATCTATTTTACTATTATCATTGAATCATGAAGTGACTTGATTAGTTTGGTAATTTTGTATATGCATATAAATATTACTGTATATTAGAGTAAAGCCTGATGAGGATCTAATCGAAAACAATATTATTCGCTTATATCTATATTGTTCTAATACATAATAAGGGAATTTTTTTAACTTACTACTTACCAGTAGCAATCAAAATATAGTAGATAAATTACAATTTTAATTGACCAGTTGTCTAATCACTACAGACGGCATATGATTATCACTACTTTAAAAGGATAATGAAGAATATTGACTTCCATAATTCATGTCAAATGTACATTACCTGGTTTTAGCACAACAATGTGTATTGATGAATTTAGCTGCTTCTCTGGAGAAAGCTATATAGGGCGCACTACTGACAATTTTAGCCAACGAGTTAATGAACCTCTTCGTTGGTGTTCTGAAAAGTGTCAGACTAAATCCAAAATCAGTTCCATTCTATAACATTTGGTCGATAGTAGTCATGCGATAAATTAAAGTAAAGCATCTAGAGTTTTTTTGTTATGTTACCAAGTTTTCCTAATGGGACTCGATCTCATCTCTGAGATATGATTAAAGTTATGAGGATCCGAGCTAATAGCCTTAGTCTCTGTGTACAAAAAAACCCATTCTGTAACACTTCTGTTTCGTTGTTGGTTGAATAAGTTTATCGTTCAAAGTTTTAATTTATTTCTTGTGTTGAACTTATTATCATTAACTGACATGTTAATCTAGTTGATTGATTATTTTTTGTTTATGCATATAAATACTGCAGCACATTAGAATAAAACTGTTGTGACTTTAAAGCCGAGTTTTTATCACGTGATTTATTTGCCAATCGAAATACGACTTATTCAATCTTAAAACTGTGCCAAACCAATGATGTTCACCTGGTATGAGCAGCCTAGCGTCCTTATTCATCCTTTGTCCGCATAGCCCCTTCAGTTGAGTCCAGAACACCAATAACAGCTTCCATTATGCGAATCATTTATTTTCAACATACTTCGTTTATATAGCAACCAAATAGATCACATCTCACCATGAAATAGGAAATAACATTTATACAACATCAAGCCAAAAAGTGACTGTGCATGTGGGAGACTGTAATCAATAAGCTGAACATAATATAAGAACGGTAAATCGTACAATAATAATAATCTATAAATCAAAATGAATCTTATAGTAAGAGGAATATAGATATACATAATCTAGTTAGTGGATGGTCATACAATAAGAATATATAGATAATATCAGTCCATAAAGTTTTCAGAAGTTACCCGTAAATTGATCTTCGCTATAATATAACAAAAGCTTGGTAAATATTCGATAGAAATCGATATTGTTCGTTCATATGTGTAGTTCTAACTTAAATTTACATTTATTTACTTATTATCATTGATAATTCCTTGTTAATTTCAGGGTCTAAAAGGTGATATGGGAGATACTCTAATATTATCATTTTCAAAAGCCTTACAACTAATTAAATACACAATAAATATTACAGTAAGTTTAAATTATTACTAATTAAATATTTGACAAGTTTATATAAAATATTTAAAATGTCAAATAACTTGTAATACATTAAATAAATGATGTTCAGAGAAAAGATCTCTGTTCAACAAATTCATTATCAAGCTGTACAATCGTATCGTCATGTTTATTCCTTGTTCATACGATTGTACATCTTGATTATAAATTCGTTGAAAAGAGATCCTTTTGCTGAACTTCGTGTATTTAATGTAATATATTAGTTAACATCAACAAACATTTTCTTTCCTGGGTTCGATTCTCGCGAGGCTGGATCATGGATGTGCACTTCTGAATAGTCCCACGATAGGACGAAACGGCCACTCAGTGCTTCCAGGTTTTCCATGGTGTTCTAGCTTCAATCGACTCATGATATTAGCTATTAAAATATAATTGTTCATTTCTTTCATCATTGAAATGAGATAAATGATTGGATGGTACTTATGAAGCTAGTGATTTTTATTTTTTCTGACTGACAGTAAATCTACTATTTAAATGAACAAACTGAAAATAAACACGATGTTAGTCTTAATAGCTTATTATTTAAAGAAAATTTAGAGCACAGCTTGACTTTCACCAGGTAATTATTAAGAAGTAAGGAGTATTTTCATAGTTATTCTCTCCTATTTTAAAACTATTAAGCATTATACACTTGCCAACCGGTCACATATTAAGCTTAGGACTTAATGTTTACCGATAAACACCACAAAAATTAGATCATTAGACCAGTACATAATAGCATACAGCATCTTCCATTTCAGTCATTTAACATTAGTAACAATGAATGGTAGTCGAGAACAGTATTGCTGATTGATTGAAGTTGGAAATATGATGCAATCGATGGATACAAAGATGTTTAAAGATAACACATATGCTAAGATGCATGAATATGGATGAATGTTGATGAAGAGTTCCAAATGAAGAAAACTAACTTTATGGTAGAAAGCTATTTAGCTTTTTCTTCTTTAAATTAATAGGACTTAGATAATAAATAGACAATTTAGATGATGTATTATCTACTTCTCATTTCTATTTTCAGTCATCAAATTATTTTCCTAAAGGTCAAAAAGGAGATAAAGGTGAAGTGATTCAAAGAAGAATATTTTCACAGAATAATAGAAATTTTCATCGATATAAACGGGAACAACAAAGAGATTATGATCATTTAACTTCTCGAATCCAACCTTTACAGGAAGATAAGAAATATGTAAAACATCGTTTGAATCAATCAACACATGATTCAAGTATATTATTCACTGGATCAAGTTTTTCCAATTTAGAAAAACAAAAAATTTTAGGTGTAAGTTATAGAAATCAAATTTCTATATGAATAAATGAAAAATTCAATTTAATTATGTTTATACCTTTTTTGGTAAATACAACAGCTTGCTTTAACCTTATTTTTTCAAGTATAAATTAATGAATAAAAATGTTCTTGTTTTAAATTTAACTTCATTTATTATATCGGCCTACTGTCGAGAATCTAATCATTGAGAGACTTGGAAAGAACCACCACTGTGGTTTGTCTAATCTTCTCCTTATCTCTTCTTCAATGAAATAACATAGAATTATTATAGAATTTATACAACAAATATATTAAATGATGAAAAATGGTGTCAGAGAACTAATATCGATCCGTAAAAATTTGTGGAGAGATATGAATATCACTGTTTAAAGACATTTGATACATATTGTGTAAAAATTTAAAAGTCAAATGTTTATAAAATCGGAATTTTATTTAAGGCATTGCATATTCCATTATAACAATTCATTACTGTAATTAAATACATGATATTGAATAAAGCAAGTACTATTGTTACCATTATTATGTTACAGATAATGCTAACCAATGAAATCTACACCGTAGGTTGTGTCCAGATTGAAATTCGTACATTCACTATTTATACATACTTAAATCATAACTAAAAGCATCCTACCATCTATCAGAAATGTTACAATAAACGCAATAAAAAAAAACCATTGGAGCTACTGTAGTGTGTGCTACTTATATAGACATAAGTAGTATATAACGTTAGTCAGCAATATAATGTCTGGCAGAAGAAGATTGAGAAGATCAAGAAGGAAAGAACGGAAACGGAAAGCAATTGGCATAGAAATGCGAGAACAGTGAATTCTGAGACGATTGACTGATATTTGCAAAAGGAGTAGTCAAGTTTGAGACAATTGACTGATGTTTTGCAAATTAAATATCTACTGTATGATTCTCAGATTTTACTATGTTCTGTAATTCTGTTTAAATACATTCGTTTGTTCCCGCTGATGTTCTCATTCACTACACTGCCATTTAACTGAAATAAACCCTTGATATTAATTTATAAAGATGGTATAAAGAATATTTTCTGTTGTAAGGATAGTACTATTACTAGCAGTTACTACTCAAAAAGTTTAACCAATCCATACAGAGACTAAACCAAGTCATCAGTTGAAATAATTCATGTGCCAACAGAAATTAATGAATTACGCCTCAAATGTCTACAGATACGTAAATTATATTAAATTCTTACATAATCAACATTATGCCCGATATGTTCAGGTATTTTGTCAATTATCAGTATAGGGGTTGTGGAGATTATTAAGTTTTTGATTGGGATCATGAACCGATTGATGTTAGACAACCGTTGTCAATTATGTTAAGATTTCTTAACACTGAATTATTTTTTAAAATTATCAGAACTCTAATAAAAAATTGTATTTCTGACGTTTCATGACCTACCGTAAGCTCCCTCTTCAGAGTAAATAAATAATCGAATTTAATTAACACAAGTTTAAATAGTACATTGTTTCATTTGTATAAATAAAACTTATGTTAATTTAATCTGGTTATTTATTTATTTTGAAAAAGCAGATTGTATTAGGTTACAAAACGTCAGAAATACAATTTTCTACTCAATGAGACGTAACAAAAAGCATATTTATCATTAACTTTCTTATCAGAAGGGGTGTTTTGCGGAGATTTTAGTAACTTTTATAGCTGAATTCATCAGTCCATTGAGGTTAGACCACCACCACTGCTGAGGAGTCTCATACTAGGATGAAACGGCCGTCCATTGCTTCTAGAATTTTCACGGGGGTCTAGCCATAACTGACTGATGAATTCAACTATTATCTTTCTATCCAATGCTCAATTTATTTGACACTATCAAGTTCAGTCTTGATATTGATACTTATCAGAACTTTTTTTATGTTCTCTAATCAAAAAGGTTAAAATACTTCATCATCCTACTGAATTCAAAAATATTAGTTCAATTCTACCAGTTGGTGCATTAGTTGTTACTGAATTTTTCAATTATGAAGTATTATCATTTGCAAATGATAATCAATCATCCAAATGGGATTTAAATAGAAATTTTCAATCGGATCAACTTAGTTCATTGGGTTTATTTATGAAAATTGAAAATATTCATAATACATGGAAAAGAATACATGTTGTAAGTTTATTTAAGAATCAATTTTGGAAAGTATTCTTCACATCCATCATGTATGCTGTTCAAGTAGTGTTTCTTTTTTCTAAATAATTTAAAACATTTCGTGAAGTAAACAGAACAAGTCATAATTGTGATAGGATCCAAATCAGAAATGTACGTTTAGATAGTCATTTGAATTTAATCTTGAATGTGATTTCGTTATAAACACCATAGTTTCTTAATGACGTTTAGCTGGCTAGGGTTTAATCGTTATTTAAAACAGACTCATTTTAGGGGGACAGGTGTAAACATTTTTTTAATCATAATGGCGGTATCGACAGCGAACTAGGACAACTGAGCAGTCATTTTTTGACAAAAAAAGATATAACATTTTTTTAACTTTCCAGTTAGTCTTAACTAATCAATTACATATGTTCAACATAACGTAGTCTTGAGTTTCTATAGAAAGCCTACAATCTATCAAGAAAATAAATTATATAATTGATAGAAAGGGTGAACGGATGAAACAGGAGTTTGCTACCATCAGACTGGATACTTGATCAATATATCATACATAGACTGCGTCAAATATTATCAAATACACAATTTATAACGAAAAATATAGAACCAGAGTATAGACTAGACAGTAGTTTATTCAACAGAATTACAAGCAGTCTACACTCTGAAAGTCAGGACTAGGAATCAATAATAGGAAGGGAAACCTCATATTTATTAATCGGTTAGTTGAATGTATCTTCGTGTACGCTTGATGACCAAGCACATTTACGTCCAGTAGCCATACATCAACAATATTTAAGCAGACCGACTGTAGTAATAGATATATTTCCCTCTTTGATTATCGTCGAAGGAAACTAGGACTGATCACGTTATCTTCATATGTTAAATATATCATGCAATGCAAAAAAATAACTTTCTAAAGGAGAAAAACTGGTGGTAAACATTCACGGATGAATATGAATAACAGTTAATCATTGCTGATAAGCTTTTTTCTACATAGTTTCTCAAAATATTCCCATGTCAAATCGTTACAACACAGAAGTTTAGTTGCAAAATTGCATATTTTGTGTTGAGAATCCTTTATTATAACTAAATATTTGTTACTAAATGAAATTATTAGGTGAGACTATAATTTATGGATGACCTTGAGAACGTCCACCTACATACTACGATTAAATGAGGGTTATAAACCAGTATGAGGAATTAGGATTAATATTCACAGTTGATAGTTAGGGTCAGGAACTGGATATAGGGTTTTCATCACGAACTGACATCAGCTATAATGCCAAAAATCTATTTACCCAAATGGATGAATGAATTTCGCGCCAAAATCCGAGAGTCAGTCAGTAACAACGTAGAACTTCGTACGTACATCAGTTCGAGTTGCCATACCACATTAGCACAGACATACAATTGTCGATTCAAATCCCATAGTGGTAGAGTTAGAAAAAGTATAAGCAGTAATCGGAAAAATTAGGATTTGAAGATGTTATTCAAGGGCTATATTCCAGTGAAATAAATTTGGAAAGAGAGAAAAAGGACAGGAAGAATTCAGAAAATTAGAATTTTGGGAGAACACAAAGAGTGGATTCACCTGCGCCATTGCAAACGATTTTGAGCCATTTCATTTAATATCCGAGACCTGTTATCTTATACCTGATTAGTTCATCTATAAATTATAGTCCCACCTTCTAACAATGAATCACTTAAAAACTTGGATTGTTATTTAAACTTACAAGCTTATGGTCAGTTAGGTTTATCATTTTAATTTTTTTAATTTTTTTATACAATTTGTCTTACAGAAGTTTGGACAAGAAGTAACATTCGGTCAACATGATGTAAGTTTACAACTTTTAATTATTTTAAGACAATTTTATTCATGTCTCTTCTTAAAAAGATGATAATCATAATTATATAAGTAAAGAAAATCTCATTTAAAAGTGAAATAACAATTTAGTTACGATCTTAAAGGGCTTATGATATAAGAAAGCGGATCTAATAACGATTTCTGATTCTTATAGAAATAAGAATCAAAAACCAAAACATGGTGATAAGTTCCTCTTTTCAAATTCTGTTTAATACTCCTAGTGACAGAAATGTGATTAGAAAAACAACATGCTTCTTAAGCAAAGATGGATAGTGGCTAGCAGTGGAATCTAGGACGCGCGTTTCGTCCCATTTCGGACTCGTCAGCTGGATTTACCTGCATCCCAGAGTTGACGTTCACTTCGGGACCCAAACCATCCATATTTGCTTAAAATGCTCGTGACGAAGTCATATCGAGGCAATCCGCACAGGATACACATATGCCAACAAGAGACTGATGAATTGTGACCATGTTCGAAGCTGAATCCAATGTCATACTTGCGTGACTATCACAACCCACAATTAGGAGAAAGAATAACCGCTCCCAATAATTATAGTCGTTATAACCTGTGATATCACTTTTAAACCAATAAATGCCATTGAACGATAAATGATAGTGTTGTATAAGGGGAAATAATGAAAATTTTTCATTAACGGTTGGTGGATGTGAAACCATCATTGTTCTGTTAGTGTAAAACTCAATTAAGTGACTGGTATCGTTACAACCACCTGTAAACACAGAATGTGTGGAACATTTGCTTTGGTCACATGAAGTCGACTGATGGGGGGTGGTAAAGGTAAACTTGCAAGTTCAAATGTTTCTAAGAGATTGAAGTTATGCAGTATCTAAAAACCTATCCTTTTTGAATACTATCTTTTATTATCTTTACTTTTCAATCATCGAGTGCAATGCACGTCATCAGTGCCTTTGCTAGTTCCTACTCCATAAAAACAAGGACTAACTATAAAGATCCTGCTACAAGGTTCAGTGATAAGTCAAGCATCCCAATCTCTAACCAAAGGATTCTAAGGAACCCTAAACCAAGATTAGAAGACACATCTCTTGAAAGTAGACCCCCACGGGACGACTGAAACGCCTACTGACGATATCATTCCGACCCAGCTTTCTTTCTCCAGTGCCATTGACAACCAATAACAATTCGTGATGAAAGAGCATCCATGAACAAGAAACTATTCACTCTGATGATTAGGACGAAATGGCGATGATTGTTTCGTATGCATCTCACTAATTACAACAGACCTTATATTCATGTGCAAATCCTGTGCAAGAAGGGTCCACTTTCTTCGTAACATTAAGCTACCCTTCCGATATCACGAGCTCACTTTAAGCATCCAGTCCCCGTTGTCTTAATCTGTCAGATATGTGGCCACAGACGTCAGTACCCCAGAAATAACCGCAACCCACTTAGATTACAGTGTAAATACATTAATAAATTTACTTAATATCCCACAGTACGCCAGGCCTCTATACGCACGACCTATAGACAACAAGAGGTATTGGTAATATCTTAGCTGAACTGTGTATCTGGGCCAAATACTATGAAACAACCCCTACGTTAAAATTCATGTTGATCTCCAAACACAAGGTAAGAGTGTTTTTGATAACTCGTAAGCCAACTATCATGGGATCACCGGACGTCAGGGTTTGGTGTAATGACCTTGTTCGGTAAGAAAGGATGCTAGAAAATCTACCGTAAACACTAAATTACCTAACAACATGGGGGTTCATGGGTTTCCGAAGCTAGTGTGCACCAATTTAGATAAGACCCATGTACTTCCAAATCATGTCGAATAGCATCTAGAAGTTCATGAGTTAACGGAAGCGAATAAAACTTATAGTTAACAAAGAGATTAATGGTGAAAAATTCATCAACTTAGAAATATCAGAAATTTTATTGCTGACTTTGCTACATACTTTCATCAATGATTTTTGTATAAAGAAGTGTATTCCTAATCAATGATAAATTATTAAATGTTTTATTCTTAATTCATTAATTAGCCTAATTTACAAATCTACAACAGTTCATCTTCCAAAGAACCTTCAGCTAAAACTTATACCCCCAGATATAGAGAAAAAGTAAGTTGACTGTTATATGCTTCTTAATGGATTTGAAGATTTAGAATTATCTCAAGAAAAACTTGTTTTGAATCAAAAATCCCATGAAAAAAAAATCTCTAGTTAATTAAATTGAAATTTAAGAACTACGTTTAATAGTTTAATGTTATTTTTTCACAGTGGGGAGTCTAATATTCCTCTGTTCAAAATACAAGAAATATCAAAATAATTAATATTTCCAAAGAATAGATAAAAAGCGTCTGGCAGTAGAATCAAGAACTCCCATTTCGTTCTATTCGGTACTCGTCAACTGGATTTACTTGCATTCCAGATTCGATGTTCACTCAGGGACTCGAACCCAGCTAAAGTCTTATTTATTTTATTTAAACACAAATATTGGTACAAAACGTACCGAATATATATGCTCCACTCGATTTGCATAAGGGCTTGGATAATACTCGGACGCCCAAGCCGATGCAAGAAAGTCTCAAGTTGAACGAAATGCACATCCTAAATCATACTTTTATCTACATTCCATCTATTTTCTGCTAACTTATGTCGTAATAGATGCACATATACCAACCAAGGCTTACCAAATTTTATTCAACATATCAACAAAAGGATAATCCAATTTATTTTAAATATAATATTTCAAAGTTATTAAGAAATGTTTGGCTGATATTTAGCATTATCATTTACATTTTTTTTATATTTCTGATTAAACCTGAGGGAAAGTTTAACAGACGTTTCTTGTAGGCTAATGACCAAGAACATTAGGGCAATACTATTTTTTGGCTAATGTAAATATATATTTTGACCATTGAGATTCTACTGGCTCATTATGCATCCATTACTAACACGATCTCTTCAGTGACTCCAAATAATCCTACAGGAAACGACAGTTGTGAAGTATTTTAGTTTATTTATCTTCCTTGAAACCATTATATCATATTCGTTGAATACACTAGCGATTTCAATTTTTACTGATTCTTTTTGCCGTTTCAGATAGTATTTGCATTTCACCCTGTTCCTTTGACTGGAGGATCATTTTCAGGATGGCATGGAGCCAATTTGAAATGTCATGAAACTGCTCTTTATCATCTGGGAATACCTGATTTTAAGGTACTTCTTGTAGACAGAAATTTTCCAATAGAACGTCTTATCAAATGGCAATATCAACATGTACCTATTATAAATCTAGGTGTAAGTATTTTTTCTCAACATAGTTAAAACAAATAGTAATTTCACCTTATTATTTCACACACTATATTTTGAATACGTCTTGTTCTTGAATGCTTAGAAACTGACTTTCTAAACATCATATTGTTATCAGGTGTCTTCCACCTTTGACCCCTACGCAGAAAACAAAATGCTGGAAGTACAGAAGAAGCTTTACTTCAAAGGTTACCGCATGTACAAAGACCGAGAGTTATTTTTAGGATTAAATGTGATTTCGATGTTCTAGAAGCTTCTGTTAAAATGTTCAATTTGGTAACAATATCTATAGTTGACTAAGCAGGAAAATGAGGGCATAATCAATTGTTTTTTAGGAAGTTTTTAAGTAAGGTTGATCAACAGATATATTTTTGTTTAATTATGAAGGACTATTAACGATTTCATTATTATCAGAAGGGGTTTTGTGTAGATTTTAGTAATATCAATGGTTGAAATCATGAATCAGTTGAAGCTAGACCACCATGGAAAACGTAGAAGCACTAGACGGCCATTTCGTCCTAGTATGGATGTGCACTGCTGAGGAGTCCCATATGAAGACGAAACGGCCGTCCAGTGCTCCCAAGTTTTCCATGGTGGTCTAGCTTTAACTGATTCATGATTTCAACTGTTGAGATTTCATTATTCTCTTAAAGGGTTATTGGACTAGAAATCACAGTCAAATTATTAGGTATCTTTCATTACAAATTACAAACTGGTCACTTATATGTTATAAAGAATAGATATTTGGGATTATTGCTTCACTTTCTCTGAATTCGATTCAACCTACTATGCTGAGAAGGCAACAAGAAATAACAAATTAAAGTATAGAGTACAGAATTTTATGCGTTGAATTCGATTTTAAATGACAAATAATGAAATTAATCACATTTCTCTCCAAAAAAATGTAAAGATTTAGGGTCTGTTTTAACTTGATGAACTGTTACAAATATTAAAAAATGAAGAAATTGATTAACATTATCAGATTTTTAATGATTAACTAGTTAATATTTGATATGTTTTGTTGATTGAACGCTACTGGTTATTTCTGTTCGTCGCTGATTGTTGTGTCGTTAACGCTTATCACTTATACACGAACGACATGAATGTAAGAATACAAAGACTGGTACAAGTGAAGATTTCTTAACCCCCAAAATATTATGGCGACGACGACCCTTGTAGAAAATACCATACGAGAAAACAAAACCGAAAACTACACTGAATAACCATCACATTGAATCAAAACGAAAGTAATGTTGAACAAAACTCATAATGAGTAAATCCATCCAATTTTGATTTTTCATCCCATCATATCAGTATTGTAATATGATAGAGTTCACCTTCATAGTTATACTATCACGAATCGACTCAAATAAGAAATGTGGAACTATTGAATTCCAACTCACTTTAAACATATCATGCTCATTGCGGGATATCAAGGTCCTCCATACAATTTGATGTTATGTTTTAGGTATACAAATTCTAAGTCTTATAATAAGAAAAAGCAGCTATTCAGTGGTTACCGACTTATCCCGTACAACATTCATTTTAATTCACTGTCATATTTATGTGCTATTCGTTAAGTACGATAGCCAACAACCATTTTTATTAAATCACTGTTATATAACGTTCATTTTCATAATTCTATTGTAAAATTCTTTTGTATTCCCACTATTTCAGTTGAGTATGATATTTGTTGAGTGGGTGTACTTAGTTAATTGTCCAGGTTTTGAACAGTGAATGAAATTTTCATCTGTTTTATCTAGTTTATAAAACTTAGTTGTTTTTTGCTGTGAAAAATGCTGACATTTTGTTTACTACTACTCATATATATCATTACAGAGTCAGACTGTATTTTCTAAATGGAGAGATTTCCTATATGGTATTCGTTCGAATATAAACGTACCACTGTACGATTTATATGGTATGCCTGATTTACAAGTTGATTCTAAGTAAGTAAATCTCATAATAATACCTTGTTACTCTTCACATACATTATTTAAACAATCTCTAATAACTGTATATATACATAGAATGCCTACTTTCAAATTAATGTATCACTTTACTTATTCAAAAATATCAAAAATCCAAGTTTTCCCTTTGAATAAATTCCCATACATGTCACATCTCCATAATTTATGCAAGTTGTTTCGAATTCGTAAATATGTTATGACAGATTATTTAGGGAACAATATATCACGCATCTGCTAGGATAACCAGGTAAGTAATAGTAAGGTTAGACGCAGAGTATTAGGGAATGATGGTAAATCAGTTGATGTAGTTGTAAATCTTCATCGACTAAGATGGTTGGACCACGTGTTACGAATGCTTGAACACCGTTTGCCACGACGCACAATGTTAACTAGTGTTGGGAACGGCTGGAAGAAAGTTAGGGGCGACCGAACCAAAACGTGGTATTAGTCATTGAAGTCACTAACTTGTAATCTGAGTCATATTGGTAGATGCCGACTACTTGGTTGTGGTCCATGTGACTATCGTAGTCAATGTTTGGAAACTCTGGGTGATATGGCCCAGAATCGATCATAATGGCTTAGGTGTATACACTATTTTCCTTCCCTTAAATCATGTGATTAAAATTACTTTATACTTTTTTTTTCTAATTCTTTCCTTCTGTACTATATCCTTATACACAATCTTTCATTTATGCATTACTACCATTGAAGTAACTACTTCCATGAATTTAGTGTCCATCTTGTTGTGCTAATGAGGTGTAGCAACTTGGACCGATGCATATATGTGCCTGGTCCTACGTTGTAGATGACTAACTGACTACGATGTAAGTATAATAAATTTGAAGAAAGAAATTAAAATGCGAAGATTATCGAAGAATTACTGATAATTTTTAGTGTAAGTTAACTGTTACCTGATACTCAGATTGATTGATCACTGAGTAGCGACCAATGTCATATTTATCAAGTCTGATCATCTAACATTAAATAATAGGCTACGCGATATCATACCACTTAGACTATTGGCTACCTTACAAGTTAATTAATAAAGCTCGATCAACATTAAAAGACCAGAAAAATATGACACTAATCACACCTCAATGATTAAGAAATATAAAAATCTCAGTCTGACTGGGGATCACTCACGAATCCAGTCTCTCAATGATAGCTTCCCAGACTATGAAGCTGGGTGACACGAGTTTAAGCCATATAGGGAGCATCAATACCCTCGGTACTGTAGATAAACTCTCTTGAGGAGTACTATCTAACATGAAGTCTAGATGTAAGATTTCCTGTCAACTACTTCCAACCACTTAGCATCGCTTTCTGATGTAAGCGTTTTATCAGTTGATAGAAAAGAAAAGTCGTTCACTTTTTATATGACACCATTATTTAATAACATCTGTATAGGCAGAAAACTTAATGGTTAGGTTCTTCAACCAATTTCACTAGCACATTTAATAAATTAACTAAGTAAATTGATTGAAATGGATGTTTAGTTCAGTAAAACTACATCCATTAACTAATGATAAATTCCCTAAAGAAAATATGCACTATTAAGCTAATATAGCATGAATTAGTCTTCTAAATTACAATAATTCATTCTCAAGCACCGATAAATTGCATCTGGCACATTCTAATTTATAGCCAATTTCAAGTAGTTACAAGTATTTAACAGGGATTATTATAAAAAAATATGCCCATCTAGAAGACAAAATCATAGTATTCAAATATCATCAAAAGTTAAAGTTAATAAAAATGGTTTTTGCAGAATAACAAACATCTCATTTAACAATGTTTACATGCTTTGAAAAACAATTTAGATCGATTGGTCTATTTATTATTGGGTCACTATGAAGCACATTACATGATTAGCTTAATTCATTCATCAGTAGTGTGTCTGAACAAAGAATAACTAAGTAAAATATACCTTTAAAAACAATCAATGTTTGTTCTAGTGAGAAGCAGTGACCAGTAGAGTTCAACCGGGACTGTTGTGAGATAGTAACTCACTGATGACAATGGTGAATGTATCTCTCAATTTCTTGGATTAGTTAAAGTTAGACATTAACACCGTTGGATGTCAGCCAGCTCAGCGGTCTAGAGGTTAATCGTTCGGTCGCGAGACCGATAGGTACTGGGTTTAATTCTGGCGATGTACACTACTGAGGAGTCCCACAATAGGAAAAAACTATCGTCCAGTGCTTCCATGTTTTCCATCGTGGTCTAGCTTCAATTGACTCATGATCTCAACTAGCGAAAGATAAACATCGTTGAAATGATTTCAAATATTCATCAATATGATAACGTATTAAACTCCAAATAAATAATACATTCTCTTTGTTTTCATTAAAAAAAAACAGAAAGTTCTGGCTTGGAGGTGGTGTTAATTTTGGATGTGATGAATGGACAACAAATTCATCAACAAAATTTGGTCTTACATGGTCATTTGATTATAGAATAGGTCAAGTGAAAATCAACTACGCAAAATGTGATTCAATCAATTATTTAATGTGTTATAAGATTGTGAAACCTACAATAGCCTAATACTTCGGCTTAATAATAATGTTTATGATCATTATTTTATTAAACTATAAACACATCTACTAAAATTACTTAATTTAATCAACCAGTTAATTTTTCATGCAAAGTATATGGAAGCTAAAATTGTCTTATTTTCAAGATTTTGAAACAAAAAAACAATCTACTTTATTATAATTGAGTAGTATAAATTGATAGATAAATTTTGATGTTCAGCTTCTTGTGTCGAAACGCACCATTTGATTACCGGAAAAATAAATTCGTTGAAAACTTAAAATCGGGCGCTAAATTACACCGTTTTAAAAAGAAACTACAAACAAGAACAGCGAAAACCATGAAAAAGGAAATGGAACAACGTAACAAATGTCATATATGGAGTAAGTGTAGACCGATTGCTGGTTAAATGGAATTGAACAGGTGACGGATTTTTCAGAGCACTAGTTGGAAATTACAATTTTATTGCAACCAAATGGAGATCGTGTATAAGTTTATGTCACCATTACTCGACTAGCACAGTATTTTTCTGTTCCTTGAGTAATCCTGTTACTCTGTAGTTAGGGCTATTTTATACATTACCCTAATACTTCTAACATGCTGTGAACATGAGATGGTGACCAAAAATTGATGACTCAAGTAAAACTTTTGAAATGGTCTGTAATAATAGAACATGAAATTATGGAAAGAAATGCATCCTGACTATAAGTAAAACGTGAAAAAAAACTCAGAATAAGTTGTATGGGCAAATCTCACGAAAAAATGACTATATTAATTACCATCTCCTATCACAGAACGTAATCTGAGAGTTCATTGATCAAATATTGATTGTTGATCGTAGTCCATAACTTTATTTAATTTTTGGTGACGTGTTCCTAAGAGAATAATCTGAAGAGGGCATAGCAAAAATTTGCCATTAAATAATAAAATAAATCGTGTAAGCATCAGTCTAGAACAATCCTGTACATTAAATAAAAACTGGCTACGCGGACACTAATCAGTTGGTCAGCCACATATTATCCCAAGAACCAATAGGAAGATGAGAAGGCTATAGCAAGAAACTCTATATCCGAATCCCGAAGTCAAGTCAAAATACAAATTAAACAGTTCAGACCACAACACATAGTATATGGAAAACTGAAATAGGAGATTTAGCGTTGTAAATTAGGGTACAAAGCTTATACTTAAATTACAATAAAAGATACGGTAATAGTTTACGGATTAAACGAAAGCCTACGATCAAGGGAGTACGGATGTCATATGAATGAAATGTTAAGAATTACAGATTAAAAACTAAGTGTACTTATAACCGAAAAAGTAGCTTTCGTTCTTTGCCATCTTTTTCAAAAAATAATACAGAATAAATCTCTTGCGTAAAACCGATTGCAGAGATCTGTAAGAACAGATACAGAAATTTATAATCGGGATCGAGTATGGCTGAGAAAAACTTATTATTTAAGAGAGGGATTTAATGTAACTAGATAGATTGAACAACCGTATGTAAATAGAGAGAAAATATTAAACTTTACAAACGAGCTTTCATACAACATCGAATAGGGTCAGAACAGAAGAAAACGGTAAAATATGCTTGTTGATACTTACATACTTACCATAAATACCCCACCATACCTTTTCTGCACATATTCTTTATGGTTTTACATAAATCGAACATTTATACTGTCTAATATAATTAGTCTAATACAAGCTGTCTTATTATTCATCCACTATCCAAGAAAGTAACTGTTCTAGACTACTTTGCTAAAACTTTATACAAGTACCGCTATTATAAATTGGAACTATCCAATGAGTGAGAAAGAAAAAAATTTACGTTTCATTAATTAAGTCTGGTGGTTTTTACCTAAGTTACAGTAAAAACAGATTTACAAAAATATCAACTTTAAATCATAACTCGAACAAAGTCCTTCTGTATGAAATAATCCTGCGTTGTCGAATGAATGAATGAATAACCGAGAACAGACGCGCATAGATTATTTGATAAGTGTATAAATTCTAAAAACAGAACGTGTTAATATGAAAAAATGTTTCTTATTACATTTGTATTCACAATGTTAGTTTAAGGGAGGAGTGTTAAACCAGATTATCTTTTGTCTCGATGATTACATTACTATTAAAGTCAGACATGTAAACCTGTAATCAAAAGTCGTTCAAGCTTCATTCGACTTCTCAGTAGTCGAACAGGTCTACGATGATAATTTTTTACCTTTATTTTCAAAGACATTTGTCCGATGCATAATACATTACAGCCTGGATATTTTGCAGATACTTTATTTATTATTATTATTTGAACACATAAATATTGGTACAGGGAGGCACTAAATATATATGCGCCACACAAAACAATGAGAATTTAAAGAATAGGGAAAAAAAGTTAAGGAACGTAGGGAATTATAAAAAAAGAAGAGATCAATAATGGGGGAAACGAAAAGGTGCAATCAGAGGAAATCTTACAGTTAAGGAAGTCACAACCACTTTTTATCAAGAAAGTAAAAGAACGTCACTGGCTTCTATTCTGAGCCATATCTGATAACGTTTCTAGCCACTGTGTTACACCATCTCTCGGACCCCAACCAGGGAGTCGTGAAGGTCCAACACAAGCCAGCCCTTTGCAGCTTTCTTTCATACCACGACACCATGTCATATACTGACGACCTCTCCGCTTTTTCCAACCAGTCCCAGTGTCGGCAAATAATGCACGACGAAAAGTTCTCTGGGACGACATTCGTAGAACATGTCCAAGCCACCGAAGTCGGTGTTTCAAGATGGTGACACCAATGGAATTATCGTCTCTGTGCCCGAACACACGATGCCTAACCTCTGCATTACTAACATGGTGTTGCCACTGAATGTCGGCAATCCTTCGGAGACAGCGATGACCAAACACAGAGAGTCGCCTAACATCCTCAGCTCGGAGAGGCCAGGTTTCATAAGCATAGAGCAAAACTGCTCTCACCAACGCGTTGTAAATCCGACCTTTTACAGCCAGACTAACATCACGAAGGCGCAAAAGATGGCCTAGATTGGCATAAGCCGCTCTGGCTTTCACTATACGTGCATTGATCTCATCACTCACGCCACCACCAGCACTTATGCAGCTACCCAGATACACGAACTTCTCGACCACTTCTATCTGCTTAACATCCAGAGTGAGTACAGGATTAAAATCCTGCCAGTCTTGTAGAAGTACTTTGCACTTCGAGGGTGCAAAGCACATACCGTACCTACGGACACTGATTGCCAACTGATTAAGTGCGGATTGCATGGCTAGGGCATTCTCGCACAGTAAGACAATATCATCCGCATACTCAAGGTCGAGAAGTCTTTCTCCAGGCAACAGATCCACTCCACCATTACTTACATCCATCAGAGCTGTTTCCAGAATGTCATCGGTGGCAAAGTTGAAGAGGAATGGTGAGATTGGGCAACCCTGCCTGACCCCACTGCTTGAATGGAATAATGGAGAGAGGTGGTTGTATGCCCTCACTCTGCCTGAGGTCTTTGTGTATAGGACGTTTAGGATGTTCATAAACTTCTCAGGCACACCCTTCTTCAATAGACAATCCCAGAGAAAAGTTCTGTTCAACGAATCGAAGGCAGCTCTGATATCAAGAAACACTACGATTATTGGCCTTTGATAAGTATGGCGGTGTTCTAAAATTTCGCGGAGGGTGAAGATATGATCAATACATCCTCGACCGGAACGAAACCCAGCCTGATCCTCGCGAGTCAATCTTTCTCGGGTTTTGAACAACCTAAGAAGTATGACGGAAGCCAATAGCTTGGACGCAATCGAAAGTAGACTTATCCCCCGATAGTTGTTACAGGAACGACGTGAACCCTTTTTAAAGATAGGGACAACTATCGACTCATTCCATGACGTTGGTACACTCTCTAGTTCCCAGACCTTTGTAAACAACGTCGTCAGTCCCTTAGTCTGAAAGTCATCACCATCTTTAAAAATAGCCGGAGGTAAGTCGTCTGGGCCCGGTGATTTGTAACGTTTCAAGAGTTGGAGTTCCTTGCGGACTTCCGCCTCATTTGGTGGATCAGTCGTCACCGGCCATGGAGGGCAGGACAGTCTGACCAATGTTGCCGGAGCAGCAGGCCAGTTGAACTTCCCTTTGAATGAGTTGGAAGAGCTTCCGGTAATTACCAGATGCAGCTGCTGCTTCCAGCTCATTAGCACGCTCCGACCACCAGGCTTCTCGGTCCTTACGCAAGCTTTGACAAATTTCATTACGTAACATCCTTCGTTTGTGATCAAACTCACAGTCACCCGGAGTAGACCGACGGGCTTCAATCAGTTGTAAGGAACCAGAAGAAACCCAGTGCTTATAAGCGGGACGTTTCGCGAAGCCGCAAGCGACTTTACTCGCCATTTTGATGGCGTCATGAAGTTGCAACCAATGCTCATCTATACTTTTCGGTGGAATGGTAGCTAGCCTGGAAGCTTGCTCAGTTCGGTACTTACTAGCAACAGAAGTTGCAACCATCTTGCTAACGTCAATCCTTTGGTGGCGGTCACTTCGTTGTCCACTGAAAAGTAAGGTAAGATTGGTGCAGACCAGAGCACCATCAGATTCCAGATAGGTACTCCAAAAGGAGCGGCAGTCTTGTGCACAACCACGCCAGCGGTAGATGATCGCGATGTGATCAATCTGAGTCCAGGCTTGAGATGCAGAGGGAGGACGCCAGGTGGCACATCGGCGATGACTGTGCCGAAAGTTAGTGCTAGCCAGAAATAGGTTGTGGTCTGTGCAAAGTTGCAGTAGACGTTCCCCGTTATCTGTCCTGCGACCAACAAGTCCCCATCGGCCACCTAAACGACTCTCTTCTGTGCCTAGACGTCCGACCTGAGCATTCACGTCTTCAGCTTACTTACTTTTACTTACGCCTGTTACTCCTCGTGAAGGAGCATAGGCCGCTCACCAGCATTCTCCATCCAACCCTATCCTGGGCAATCCTTTCAAGCTCTTTCCAGTTCTTATTCATTCTTTTCATATCTGCTTCTATTTCCCGACGAATTCTGTTCTTTGGCCTTCCTCTTTTCCGCTTCCCTTCAGGATTCCAAGTTAGCGCTTGTATCGTAATGCAGTTTGATGATTTCC